CAAATAAACATTGATTTTCGTGCCAATCAGTGTTCGTTCAACCTTTTCTATTCAACATTGAAAAATGCTCCAATGAAATCTGGCTGTAAATTGGTGCACTCTTTGTGATGTTTGATTACCAAAGTTGTGTCTGACTCTCAGCCAGCCTAAGCAGAAAAACAAGTGCACACCTTAAAGCAGGGGTGTCCAAACTTTTGAAGACAAGGGCCAAAAACAAAAATTTCTTGTCGTTTATCAGGTCCGAGCGGAGCAGGTCGTATTTATTATTTGGCTCATGGGAACAATTCATTTAAGCATCCATTCCACTCCACCGTCCTACTGGAAGTACCACTGGTTCATTCTTTAGTAATTTTTGTAGGTGTAAGTCATTCATAATTATGCTAAATGTCGTTAAAAATAAAACCCCACAACAAATTAGGCAGTAAAGGTTTGAAAAATGACCCACATGCTATAACATCAGAAACTAGCATTTTCTCTGCCGTTGCAGCATTTCTGCATGGAGTTGATCCCCCAATGAATGAGACAATTTTCTCAACAGATCAAAAACACACATGTTAGGTTAGTTAGTAAACCTAAAAAATCCCGTGAGTGTGTGACTAGTTGTTTGTCTTCGCGTGTCTGGTGATGGACAGGAGACCTGTCCAGAATGTGCCGATGACAGCTGGAGATGGACACCAGCTCCCTGTGGCCTTGGTGAGGATTAAGTGGTTAAGATTAACGAATGACTCGACTAGTTCATATAATAACATTAGCCAACAAATCAGATTTTATGTGGCGACCTATGCTGTGGGTAACTTAGCAGCTCCAGCTCCTGGCTTCAAACGATCTCGTCTGAAACCGGAAATATTCAGGACGACGGATGGTAAAATTATAGTGGAAGATGAGTTGCTTAATTTTCTCGCTGTGAAAATTAAGACTTTAAGCCAGGATGAGATAGTGTTATTGGCGACAAGCACGTTTGACTCTGAGGCAATTGAAGCCTCCAAGAAAGTTCTGTTTGAGCTCCGTCCTGGAACGTCGCAGAGATGCGTTGCCCATGAAGGCCAACACAGGGACGCTAACAACATAAAGCTCTGTCTCAAGGTTCTGAATGAAAATGGGGCGGATGTACCTAGATTTGTTTCCCATTATCTGGATGAGCTTCCTCCGGTGACTTTTTCCAGCCTGGATGTCTCCTGTTTGCTACGGACAATGGAGCAGCTGAACGCTGAAGTGGGTATTTGAAACACATAACCCAGCTACAGGCGGATGTCTGTGAATGGTTCCGAGCCGAAGCTCTGGAAATTAACCATCGAGTGGCTGCATTGGAGAATCGACATGAAGGGTTGGAGGGTTCTGCTGCCAGGAACGCTCCGGGGAAACAGATTGAATCTTGCTGTGGCCAGGAGAACCTTGTGGTGGAGATGCTGGGAGTGAGAAGTGGTGATCAGGGTCTAACAGTGAAGAGTGGAGCTGATAGATCGGCTGGACTGGCTGATGGGCACACATTGAGTGATACTGCCAAGAGCTGCCCTGCTCCGGTGCTCTGTAATTGTGATGGAAATGAGGGGGGAGGTGCTGCTGCGGTGAAGGATCCACCTGGCTCTCCATGCTGGAGTAAAGTTGTAAAAAATGGCCGGTCTCTGAATAAAATGAGGAAGACAAAGGCGAGGGATGCAGCTTTGAGCGGACGGCCTGATACCGGTGGTCAGAGTAAAAGATCTGGTCCTACTTCTATCATCGGTACTGGAGTTGTGAGTACCATCAAAACAGTGAAGACCAAACTAGTGAGTGTGTTTGCTACAAAATTTTCTCCGGACTTGGATGTAGAAACGCTTGCTGAGTATCTTAACAGTAAACTCCACAGAGTAGTCACATGTCCGAAAATTAATCCACGCAGCAGGGTTGGCTCATTTAAAGTAACGGCTGAATGTAATGACATTGGGCAAATGTACGCTCCTGAGCTGTGGCCTGAAGGGGCTCTAGTTCGGCGGTATTTTGAGCCACGTAAGGCCACTATTGCAGTTGTTAACTTCAGTACCGTGCCTCCCGATAAGGAGGTAAATGTGCCATCCAGTGACCCTGTGTCAGCTTGAATATGTCACCCTTAGGGTTTTGTCCTACAACTGTCGTGGTCTGCATCTGGGTCTGGGTGCAGGTAATCAAGCTTGACGCTCTGTGGTGGACAGTTTGCTGACAGAATGTGACATAATATGTTTACAAGAAACTTTTATGGCTAAGCAGGATCTTGAAAAGCTGAACACTCTCAATGATAATTTTTTTGGAGTGGGAGAATCAACGACTGATCTTAGTATGTCCATAGTCAGAGGCAGAATTCCAGGAGGGGTCGCTAATCAATTTCCCTCTGGGATTAATAAAGTATTTTTGAATTGTATTTTTGAATTGAATTGTGCTCTGGGATAAAAGGCTTGATGATGTGATTAAGCCTGTCAGGCTTCATGTGGACTGGTGTATTGGTATCCAATATACTTATAAATGTAATACTTTTATTATTTTAAATAATTATACTCCTTCTGAATCTCGGGAGAATGGGGAAGAATTTCTTAATAGGTTGGCTTTTATTAATGCTTTTATACAGGACAGTGGTACCTATAGTGTTTATGTTGTAGTGGATATGAACACAGATTTAGCTGACAATAGTTCTTTATTTGGGTAACCATCCTACCCAATTTTGTGCAGAGAAAAACTTTACTCTATCAAGTAGAGTTCTGCTACCTGTGTGGACACTTATACGTACATTAGTGAAGCTTGGCATACCACATCATGGCTTGACTATTGTTTCAGCACTGCTGATGGACATGCAGCTCTGGGGAATGTGTGTGTTAAGTACAGTTATGCATTAACTGACCATATACCCCTAGCTTTTATTATAAATGTTGATGAGCTGCCCACATCTGTTGGGTATTACAAAGCTTCTGTTAGCACCGGCTCTGCAAATGTGAGGTGGTCAACTCTCAATAAAGTGGATTTTATTCCATGCCGTAGTTCTTTTTTTAGAACACGGAGCAGTTTTGTTTACCTGTTTTCCCGCTACGTTTCGTTTGCGGCTGCAAACTTCCTCAGGCTGACGCTGATGATGGCGTCACTTCCTTCTCCGTTTATCGAGATAAGGAGACGTGGATGTAGGACCATGAACAGGGACGATGGAGTTTACACGTTAGACCGAGCATTGGGATTGCATCGTCGGAGAGGGGAGCGCGGGCAGCAGAGGGCGACAATGTCCTCTGCTGCCCGCGGATAAATGGTTGAAAGCAGAATTACAACTGTCTAAAACAACCCTGCCACAGCCTGCTGTAGCTAGCGCTAAAAACAAGCTAACGCTAACACAAGCCAACAAATGCTTAAGCCACAAAGTCAAAAGATCCTCACCATTGAGCAAAAAAATATTATTTTTAGTAGTAACAAAGCCAGGTCACCATCAGTCCGTGATTTTGTAGCCCCCTTTAGCTCCCTTAAAGGAGTATAGGCTTCACTAATGTTCACTCTGGTTTTAGCTATATGCTTAACCCTTTACACAAGGAGATGCTGTATGCCAGAGTGAGGCAGAGGAAGTCTTTTCTCCACCCACAGCACAAACAGAGCCGCTTGAGGTATGCTAAAGCACATTTGGACAAGCTAGCTTCATTTTGGAGTAAGGTGCTGTGGAGTGATAAACTAAAACTGAGTTATTTGGCCATAGCAAGGGACGTTATGCATGGAGGAAAAAGAGAACAGCATTCCGAGAACGCTGCCTGCGGCCTACAGTAGAACATGGTGGTGATTCCATCATGATGTGGGGCTGTGTGGCCAGTGCAGGGACTGGGAGTCTTGTTAAAGTTGAGGGGCGCATGGACTCCACTCAATAACAGCAGATTCCGGAGACCACTGTCCAGGAATCAGTGACCAAGCTGAAGCTGCACCGGGGCTGGAACTTTCAACAAGACAACAACCCTAAACACTGCTCATGATCTACTAAGGCATTCATGCAGAGGAACAAGTAGAGCATTCTGGAATGGCCATCTCAGTCCCCAGACCTGAATATTATTGAAAATATGAGGTGTGACTTAAAGAGAGCTGTCCAAGCTCAGAAGCCATCAAACCTGAATGAGAGATGTTTTGTAAAGAAGAATGCTTCAAAATACCTTCAACCAGAATCCAGACTCTCAGTGGAAGCTACAGGAAGCATTTAGAAGCTGTTATTTCTGCAAAAAGAGGATCTACTAAAATATGTATTTAATTACTAACTAACATAATAGTTTAATATCCTCCCATAGACGTTATCTTCTAGATCTGAATATGCTTTTAGGAGGTGTTTTGCTTTGTGTGTATACATTTCCTGTTTAAAGGAAGCAGGATGTGTCCAGCCATACAGCTTATTATGGTCTTTTGCAAATTGAATGCATGTCATGTCACACTAGACGCTGCAGTTGTGGTGATGCTGAACCAAACCCCAAACGGACAACATCCGATACCGGAATATTAAACTAATGCAGTGAGTTATGGGATTAAAAAGCACTGAAGCAAGAGCACTTTCACCTGGAGGTCAAATGGAAATCTAAATCATTTAAAATAAAAATAAAACTTGAAGCTGGAAGCAGTTCACCTTTAATGCAGCACCACTGCCGTTTTACCTTTCCGGTTTAACCGAGAGACACTGTGCTGCTGCAGACTTTGTGGTAACAAGTGTTGCAGGTTTCAGAGTAAAGACTGAGCTCATGATTACGTCAGAGATGTCTCTTTTTGTTTAATATCTGGGTTACTGTGACAACTGAAGACAAGAGACAGAAATAAACACACCTTTTAAAAAGGGGGGGTGCAACAGAGAGCTAAATGAACTCATTCATCTACACTGCTTCTTCCTGTGAGCATTTTTCAAAAAAAAAATTAAAGGAATCTCAGTTTCATTTTTTTCCTCATCTTCTCAGGAGTCTTTGTGACTTGCATAACTTAAGATTATTCCCGTTTTCTTTAATCTATTAATAGAAAACATTGCTGTTTTCAGTCTGACGTCAACACCATACCTGCTGAAGAGGAGTCTTCGTGGTCAGAGCTCAGGTATCCATCACTCCTTCGCTCCGGCGAACTGCACCCGGAGCCCCGGGACGCGCTCCGCTGATCCTGCGAGGACAGTCTGCTGTCGTCCCCGGAGTCAAAGTCTTTGGTGTGCTGGACAGGCCGCCTGAAGCTGGGCGTCCTCTGCGTGTCCAGACCCACCGTGTTCGGTGTCAACAAGTTATTCCTGACAAAATTATCGTTCAGCTCCGCATCCTCGTAGTCTTTATCGCTGTCCTCCCCGATGTCCGGGGCCTTGCTGATGAACCTCACCGGCGGAACAGGGATGGGGACAGGCTTACCTGTCCTGCCGGTGAACCTGCTCCGTTCTCGGACGAAGGGACTGAAAGCTCTCGGGGCGCTGAGCGTCGAGCCCACCGGTTCCACCACGGTGCCTTCATGTTCCCGTCTCAGCGGCTTAAACGAGCCAAGTATGTCAGCGTTACAGTTTTCGTTCTTGTCCTCAACTCTCTCCAGGAGAGGCTTCTTCTGTCTCTCCATGGTGGTCTTCAGGTAAACCACCTTGAATTTCTCCTCCGCCAACTCGTTCTGGAGCCTCTTCAGTTTGGACTTTGATTTTTCCAGCTCTGTCTCGATGTCCTCTATAGAGTTTAGGTCCATTTGGGGGGCATCTCCTTCAGGAAACTCGTTCCTCCAGTGTTTAGCAAATTCATCCTGTTCCCACATTTTAAAGCTGAGGCAGGGTGTCCTCCCGCCAGCCGTCTGTCAGAGAAACGCTGAAGCTGTCTGGTCTTTGCCAACTAACGGCGAGCCTGACGCAAACACCCACCTTCCTCTCTCCTCCTCGGTTTATCTACGAACTCAGAATAATTACTGTCGCTGTAGCAACTCGAGTCCTGTCAGACCAACACCATCTTTAAACAATGAACTAGAAGCGGACGTGTCCACAGAGAGGAGAATAACTTTAACACGTTGTGTTCAAAAAGTTTCAAGACTTCCTGTATGCAGTCGTGCTGCCTTCAGGTACTGCTGGGACAAACAGGAATCATTGTTATCTACGTAAATTATTGTTAACGTTTATTTGATATTTTTCTAAAATAAAATATATGTGACTAATTTTAATTAAATATGGTTGATAAATAATTATCATTGTAATTAGTTATTTGAGAAACAACAAGCCTGCATGTTTACTAATTAATGTTACCTATCCAAGCATATCCAGTGGGAATGTCAGATTTTTAATTTGTGTTGCATTCTAATGATTACAAAAATAATAATTAAACTCATTAATGGTGCCAAATGCATATTTGGGTCAGGGAGAAAAAGTTGTATGATTAAAATTTACAACATACAATAATGGAATCATACAAGTACAAATTATAAATAGCGCATCAATAAGGTTCATTTAAAAAAACAATAGCTAGCTAGCGCTCTTTCCCATTAACCCTTAATAACCCTAACCCTTTTTAAATAAAAAGCTGATTGAAATAATACCTCAAATTTTAAAAATAACATAAAGAAAGTAAAATAATTTTTGACATATGTATGAATAGAATTTCACTTGGGGTGTCAGACTTGAATATATGATTCAGAAGCAATTTTGCAGATGCTAGAAATGGGTTGTGACGCCAGTGTCACCACGGATCCGTAAGAGTTAAAAGTTCATATTTAGGTTTGTAAAATTGGGAATTCCTATAGCATTTGAACGCAGCACATTTTAGAGCGTGGATAAAGTGGTTAAGAGGACTGTGTTGATTGTAGTTTTCAATGTTATTTTTTCACTATTTAAATAAAATGTGAATCTGTCTGCACTGATTTCTCTGATTTATTAAGTAGATGTTTTTAATTAGCAATGTTCATTTCTGCCTCTTTTCGGTGTTCTGTTTTCACTCATAACCTTCTGAATATTCTGGTGCATTTCCATACAAACATGCACACAAAGTTCTTTAATCTACCTTCAGCAGCTCAAACATTTCACTTATGCGCTGAAGTTTTGTTGTTAAAGCTGCAATAATCTCCTGTGTCTTTATAGAGGGATCAAGTCAGCATCACACTGCAGTTATGGTGAAATTACTCCTGAATGCATGAATGAATACTTTCTCCACCAGCTGCTACAGCTGTCACGTTAGGGCGTATCTGAGTCATGCATCACGATGCCCTCAAATCACAGGAACTTGGTGCATTTCTGTTTCTTTTTATTTGTAACATATTATTGAAATCTTCCCCAGCAGTGATGTAACTAATGCATCTTTTGGCAGAAAAGGAGAAAAAACAGACCCCTAAACAAACATCTTTCATTACAGTTGGTGGTTTCAGTAGTCAAACTTTGATCCGGCTTCTTCTCCTCAGAGGAAAAACACACACACTGTTGTTAATGCAAGAAGTATTTATGCTTCTTGTGTTCGTTGGACCACAACAGGTGCTCGTCACGACGTAATGAAGATAATCACTTCCTCATTCTCCTGCCTGTTTTGACACCTACTGTTGTAGACAAATCTGTGCTGCAACATGCTCCACTCTCAACTTCTGGCAAACCATAAAAAATACTCTTACTTTGCATTTTATGAATTAACATTTTTAAATTTCACAGTCGTCTCACTGTTATTTATACGAAGAATGCTCGACTGACTGAGTCTAGCCACCATCACCCTCTATGCAGGATCCCTGATCCACGCAGCTGTGTTGGTATCCTGCCAAGTAAAGGAACTTCCGGTAAAAGTGAGGCCATGCTGTGTGAATGCAGATATGGATGTTGGGAATTTCTGAGTGCCTGTTTGGAATCCTGCCTGGAGCTGAAACATCATCCTCCTAAAGGCTACCTATCGACCGGCTCTCGCTCTTGGCCTGAGAGTTTAGACTGATGAATAGGGGCTCTGATCAGCCTGCAGACATAAAACTAAAGTATTAATTACAAGCTTGATTGCAGGGAATGTTCTGACTTTGATGAGCAGATCACTGTGGAGTGTGTAAATATGAATGTCGGAAGCAGTTGCAGTCATTTAAGTTAAAAGCTAATAGCTAAATGCAAACCCAGAATGCTCGGATGTCGTTTTATTCAGATTCAAGTTTTATGAACAGATCAAACATGAAAGCTTTAATCAGTTAATGTTAAGGCAAATCATGGACTTCGCATTATTCCACATTTTTAATCCTTTTTGAGTTTTATTTTTTCCTTTTTCTCATAACTTGGTGATCAGATAATGCGTTTTCAGTGATGTCATACATGTCTTCCAGCATGCCACGCCTCTGTAGCCTCCTCCATCTCCATTTGGATCTGGATGTTTTAGATTCCTGACTCGCCTCAAGGTAATGAGAAACACTGCTATGTGGTAATTATAGGACTGTCAGAATAAAATGCTCATGCTCCTGCTGGAGATGTAAACACTTTTAGGAAATATATTCTGACGAGACAAATTATAATAGATTTAGCTTTTGTAAGAGAGGACAAAACCGGTCTTTTCTTCTAACCAAAGAATTAGAGTTTATGTGGGAACTTAGAGCTGCAGGTTAATTTGTGAAAAAGGAGAAGTTGAAGTCCGAATAGTGACAGGGTGGCTGTGGCAGGATCTGCTTCAGTGAAAAAAAAAAGAATACTGTCTGTTTGCTGAGGTACACTAGTGATGGCTCAGAGTGGCTTCTGGCTGTGGTGCTCTTCTGCCCTCTAGCGGCTGCATGTTGATTGGCCCACCCTCACTATACAGGTGACATCATCATCGTGGGAACTGGTGTCATCATTTAAACACTTAGTGTGGGCTATCATGTGGTGATGGGAAGCTGAAGCCATTTGTTTTGACAAAACAATTTTTTTATTTCTCATTCAGCTAGAGAGGTTTCTTCACCGGACGCTGATGCACCATGTTCTGGACAGCAACTTTCCTCATCGTCCAAGCAAAACGATCTGAATAAGGCTGTTCTACAGCTGAGTTTGTGGTGCTTGCAGGTTAGGATCTTCTACGGTCTGTAAATAAAGGACACTAGGACCAAAGTAATGAGCAGCTTTTACGATCAAGCTTCCTCTTCTCTAAGACTAGGGAAAGTAAAAATATATATCTATGTATATATTTAAAGGTGTGATTGACTGAAACAAAACATTTTAAATGATTATTTCTCATTATAATCGGTCACTTTTTCATGCAGGCTGAACACAAAAGCAGTCTTCTATGCCTATCTCATCAGCTTCTGATAAAAAATAGACGATGAAACGCTAGGATTTAAAAATCCTAACAAATCTATGTCACAATGTGAATCTACATTCATGGCCTTGCCCACAGGAAGGCTTTTTATTTATTTATTTTTTTGCAGCAAAGAGAGGGGAGAGTGTGTTGGTGATAATGACTTTGCGACTAGGCTGAATGCGTGTTAGCCAATCATAAGCTAGATTTTTGCATATCATTAATAATAATGAGTAATCCTGCTGGTTTCGGAACACCTCTGCACCAGTAAACGTCTGCATCTTAGAACAGGAGCATCACAGCTTTTTTAAATGACTCATGAAGCATTGATTTCCACAAGAGAACACTGCAAATGAATTGACCCTTTGCACTGACGTCACCTAAACACGTGGGTCCACCATGGTGGATGGCAAAAGCATGCAAACAGTGAGCGACACGATTACTAAACAAAGGGAAAAGTAGAGCCTGAAACTGTTTTTGCGATAAAAACAAAAACAAAACTCCTCCAGCATTCCTTCAACTAGTTCTTGCCCAGTTCAGTTATCAGAAGAAGTAGCGCATCTAGCGGGGGCTCATAGAGAGTGGTATGTTAACTAGCTTAGCAACGTTAGCTTACGTTCTCTCTGCAGCTGTTCACCGATGTAAACATGTTGCTGGCTTTGCCTAAATTCACCCCTCTGGATTTATAACTTCATGTTGTAAACCGCGTTTCACTTTACACCAAAGCTGATTTTTAAAAAGTCCGGATCCCTACCAGCTTCTGTTGCTGATGGTGTTACCGGGTTCAGCTGCTGCTCTCACACCGAAATGAGAAGATCTCTGAACGCAGACGCTCATATAAATAAATAATGTAATTTTAACACACGTAATCATACATCAGAGCTTTAATATTGTTAATAATTATCTCGCTTTTCACTACAGTGGACGGCGCGCAGCCTCCGTGGTGAAATACCCATCCATCAGGATTATCAATAACTTGTATAAACACATCACATTTATCCCTGTCCCTGTCTTCTTCATGAAATAAATTAATGTTAATCTTAACCAGTAAAAACATATTCGCTACAAATCTGAGGGCTGCTAGTCCGCTTGATTGATCGCTGCAGTTCATCTCCGTCCTCAGTCTCCATCAAAGTTATTTAAAAAAACAAAACGAGTTGCATGGCTAAGAAAACTATCCTCATGAATTGGAAAAATAGAGATACTCTTTGCATTAACCAGTATAGAAATCTTTTGTTAGATCATATTACACTTGATACAGCCTCTGCTTCCACTTCAAATCAATCTCTCGGGGCTCCTTTGATCGGTTCCATCACATAGCGATGATGAGGGATCATTGATATTGTCCTGCGGGATGATGTGGGTGATGGGGTGGAGGGTTTGAGTTTGGAGTATCCAGTCATTCCCTGGAGGTGGGTTCACTGGGGGTGTCTGGAACTGGGGGGCTGCTGCCCCCCTCTGGAGGGGCTTGGGTTGCCTCGGGGGGTGGACTACTGGCAGTTGTGAGTGGGGCCCCTTGGGGGTCTTGGCGGTGGCCATGGGTCGCTGCCTGGCAGCTGCATTGCCCCTGGGCGGGTCTGGGTGGGGGCCTGGGGGCTCGGGGTGTGGGGGTGGCCGGCCTCATGTGGGGATCTGGGCGGGGTCTTGGGGGTCGGTTCCTGACATGTATGCTGCCGGGAAGAAGGCGGGAACATGCTGCAGTGTCTGGCATGGGGCTCAGGGGGCTCAGGGGCCTCAGGTAGACCTTGGCTCCTCTGCTGTTCCATCACAGGGAAGGGGGATGTCCAGGAGGGGGAGGACCCAACCTGACCTGGATGTCCTATGTCTTATATATTCCGGAAGTTGTGCAAATGCAGAGATGGGAGTAGCTATTCTGCTGGGGTGGGGCTGGGTTGGTGCCCTCGGACTCTGTGGGGCTCTGCGATGCTGCTGCTTTGGGCCCTGGCAAGATGGGCTGGGGTCTCCATGCCCTGGGTGGCATTTTGGCAACAGAGGTGCCTATTGGGGCCAGTGGGGGAGCTGGCTCCCTGGAGGGCTTTAGTCCAACCAGTCATTCTTCCCCATCCCCACACATTTTTCTCCTCCTGCTTCCTCACATCATCACACAATCATGCACATAGGACCTTGGGGGTGGACACGTCAGGGGGTGCGGGTATGGACCCCATTTCCGCATTCCTGTGGCAACCTGTCCCCCAATTTTATCTGCACCTTAAACACTTCCACCAACGACATTCCACACAAACACACACTTAGGGCCTCGGGAGTGAGCACATTCAATGGCATTTGACAGGGGATTTTTCAGCCTCATCTCGAGTGCCAGTGCCCACTTTCAATTTTAAACTGCACTTAGACACTGAGGGCTGTGGGTGCAAGTGGGGTGGGGTGGTGGCATCAGCTGGCATAGGCCAGACGATGTCTGCACTGCCCGCTCTCCACAGCCATGAATACACCTCATCAACACACACTAACACTATATTGGAGCAGGCAGAGGGAGACTAGGGGTCTTAGCACACCTCTGTTGTTGCTTGGCTTCCCGGGGCTGGAGGCTAGGAGGGAGATCCGGCCGTCCGGTTGGGGTCTGGGGTGGTGGGTTGCTTTGCTCAGCGTTGGGTGGGGGAACCTGCTCATCAGCACCCCAGCAGGAAGGGTCGAACTCTGGGAACCGGTAATGGTTGCACCCCATGTGCAGCAGTACCGGGACCAGAGTGAATAGGGTGTGTATGGGGAGCATGAGAGGGTGTCCGGCGTGCATTTTTGTAAGTCTTTGGTTGTATGTGTACATGTGAGCATGAGGGAGGGAGTGTGTGACTGTGTTTGTGTATGACTGTTTGTGTCAGGTGGCGCCTTTGACTCCTCCCTTCTCCTGGGACTTCTTTTGATGTTATACATCTTCGTCTCCCCTCCCCCTGCCACACCTGGTGTGGAGTGTGGTGCCTTGGTCTGCCTGAGTGTTCGTGGCTCCCAGGTCAGGGGGTTAAAGATTTTTGGCATCTGCCTGATCAATCCCGGTGGCTGCCTGGTGGGATCTGGGTCCCTGGGCTCTGCTGGGTCCCCAGCGGGGATGGTCGCCCCTGGGTCCCGGGCTTGGCCGGCTATGGGGTGGGAGGCTGCAGGCGGGCCTGTGGGCTTGCTGCTGATATCTCCCGGGACTCTGCCGGCTGCTGGTTGTGGCCCCCCGGGGCAATCCTCTGTGCCTCTTGAGGGGGGCAGGAGCTTTTCTGGTCGCAGTCTCCTTGGGGTCCCTGTGCTCTGGGGCAGCTCCTGGATCTCTGGGACTTGGAGCTCCCACCATCTCCTACACATCTTTGGGGGGCAGATCTGTGGCCCCTCACACTCTCTATTGGACGCTCCTATAGAGAAACCTTACATAAACAAGCGCGTGTACACACACAGATGCTCACATGGTGCTCTCATAAGTATGGACTTAGGCACATTCAATACATGTCTTAAGGCTGTGGTTGGCACTAAATGCACTATGATTCATTAAGTATTAAGTTTTAAGTATCAGGCGTGACATTAAAAGCAGACGCTTTGATGCTCCACCTGAGAGTAAATCTGTAAGGCTTGTCACCAGCATTCAGACATTAATTCTGTTTGCTCCACAGCATACAGAAAAAGCAAAGAAAAAAGCAAAAAAATAAATAAGTAAATAAATGAGTTGAGTTTACACCCTTGTCTATTAGTGCAGCCAACCACGCAGCAAGCTAAAACCATTTTACTGATAAATCAACTAAATAAAAGCGATAAAAGGCTACAAACTGGCTTGTTTTGACTAGCTTCACTGGAGTTTCAACGGGTGTAAACGGTCTTTTTGCCGTCCATCATGGCAAAGGGGGTGGTCACATGATTGGCGTGAGGTCACGTGCAAAGGGTCAATAGAATAAATGAGTAAACCACACCTTTAAAGGGTGATTTTTTACCCAACAACAAGAGATTTAAACCCCAGTTCTTTACACAGAGCAATTCCACATTTATTGAATGGATTACTTCACAGTATTCTAATATTCATGAGTGTTGCTCACAGAAATATTGCTGATTGAAATCAGCTCATAAGACAAAGGGATAAAGTTTCAGACGAGAGACAAAAACATTAGAATATGTTTCCCTGTGTTTTACGACACAATCAAACACACAATTATATCAAAATAGACACATATATTATTACAAAACACATTTCGTAGTATAGATTTGTGTGAATGAGAACACATACAACATTTGTTTAACAAGTGATCTACAAATTCATCGACAGATATGCTGTTCAATTATCTCTGAAATTCATAAGGCAACAACAGGACAGCACCACAGGTTATAGAGTTACAGGTAGGTAGTATCAAAGGCCACGCAACACAACCCAGTGAGATGTCACCATGAACCTGGGGTCAAAGGTTGCAGGTTAGGATCTTCTATGGCCTTCCTGAGCAGAAGTAGGAAACTTAAGGAGAGTGCTTGGAATGATTTATAAGCCATCATAAATCAGCCTACAATAATCAGCCTTTAATGCTAGAAAAGTTCACTTCATTTAATGTAAATAAAGGTTTTTAAATAACAGTATCATAAATACTTACCACTCTTTACAAAGCTTTCTGAAATGTTTTATTTGTTTTTTGCATAGTTAGTTGGTTTTCTGAGAATAAACACAGAAAACTAAACCAGAGTGTAAAAATGTGGAGTTTAGTTGTTATGTCCGTAGAGTTTGTCATCAGCTAACTGAGCAAAGTGCAAAATCTAAATCACAAGGAGCACTTTTCATGCTTTTCTGATGGAACTCGCAACCAAGGCTTCTCGCCTGGTGGTGAGAAATGCCTGTTGTTTTTCATAATAGGCCGCCTCATTAATAAAAGTGGGATAGACTGTGCCGGGGCCTTGGTAGCGGATGGTCTGCCCGTCAAAAGTTTGGAACATTGGGTCGCCGGGGTTCAGCGGCTCCCAGTCGCAGTCCTGAAATGACAACAAACATTAAGCCAGAGGGAACGTAACCAGACCCCGGTGCTCAGGCTAAAATAACATAATCTAAATTACACTTGTTCCCCGAGTCACAATAAAGGGCATTTAAAGGACTGGAAGTGCCAGAACACTCGGAGGTTAAAATGTTTAAATGCTTACCTGCAGGTTGGGATGAACCATGGCAATGATGTTTCCGTTGGCGTCCCTCGGGTAGTCGATCCTCTCTAGGACCCGGAAGACTTCCACTGTGCAAGGAGGAAACTCCATGCCTAAGAAAAACACAAGGAATGACACAGTGTGACTCTTATATGCCAATGGTTTAGTTATATAAAAGAAAAGATACAAACAGGCCACAAGAAGTAAAAAGTAGCATTCTTGTCATAAACAAAACTCTTTCAAAGACAATGCATGATTAGTGAAGGGCTCCTATTATGTTTGCCTGCTATGCTTCCATATCTGCCATTGGAGAGTACAGACGCTTTTTTCCTCCTCTCCTCCCTATCTTATCCCAAGGCTCTTAATCTGTCTTTGGGTGTACGGCACTTCAACATTTTTTCTGGAAACTGGAAATTATTAAAAATGGACCTGGTCAGCTGGTCTCTCAATGCGTTTGACAAGATTTTTTCAACGATGAGAACGGGAGAAGGAGCTCCCGGATGCCCCTCTGGGACAGAGCCAGCTGGGCAAATCATGGACTACTGGAAACAGTGGAACCTGATCTGCCTCTCTCAACTGTCTGTAGAGGATTCTGAAGACATCTGGATATCCGTGGTGTTGGTGTCGGGATTCCAGCTGTTTGGCCTGAGTGGTTACCTGGCTTACCGGAAAATTAATGAGCTTTCGAGGAATATTGGCTCAATCCCGGAGCTCGGGGATGGATTACACCGCGCTGTGAATGCACAAACTCATATAATTGTCGAGATGAGTCGTAAGCTTGGAACTTTGGCTGAGATTCAGGCTCTGGCAGAGGAGGTTGATTTGATCAAGGAGCGAGTTGACGGGACAGCACGGTTGGGAATAGATTAATTTACGCCATTATTGGATTTAGAGGGGTTGGAGACCAACATAACTTTAAGACAGAAATGAAATTATCTCCGTCTGGCCCAAAACAAGTTCTTATCTGAATCTGGTGCCCTTGAGCCTGTGAGGCTGAAGTGATTACTCCCCCTAAGAAGAAATGTGGAATGCTGCCGTCGCCATGGCAACTCTGTCTCCCTATCCCAGCTTGGGCGGGACTGTGACCGGTGAAGAACGTGGAACCGTTTCCAGGAGTCACTGTGCTCTCTAACCCAAATACCTCCTTCCCCTGTCCAAACGGAGGTGACGAGCGCTGCTCATCGCGGCTGCATGCACTGATGTGAGGAGAGTCCCCAACCCTACCTCCCCACCTAGTGGACACTTGTGTTGTGTAATGTCTGAAGTCTTTGCATTTCTGTCTGAGGTATTTTTTGCATAGCAAAGCTGCCCTCCCTGTGAGGGTAACTCTGAAGTGCCTTTTTTTTCCCTCCACCTGACTCAATCCTCATACAAACCCTCTGATCTCTATTAAGGTAGCGCGACTTGGGTTACGAATGACCACAGTCACCAATTCTTGTCATGTGTCTTTGCCTATGTATGTATGTCTGATCTCAGAATTGTGTGTACTGAAACTGTAATTTCCCTCTGGGATTAATAAAGTATCATTGAATTTGAATTTGTTTATATCTCCACCTACAGGTTTGGAAAAGCAAAAAGAACTCTCAAATTTTTTCATAAATCTTCTAGTAAACATAATATTTCCTAAGCAGCTAACAGTTTCAGAATTTTTTTTACCCTCTCAGGCTCAAAATAAGTTTTGATGAAAGGACGAACAACTAAGTCCTTCAGGGGTACTTCTGAGTTTAAAAAATGCTCCTGAAATACGTATGTGGAGTAACCAGGTAGGTAGGTTTTAACTGTTGCAAATCTGCAACACATGCCTCCAGAGGGTTAAAGGCCCACTTGACAGGTTTGGCTGGCTTCTAACATCACCTATGTCCATTTAGTAGAACCTAAAGTAAAACGTATCTCCTCGCTGTACATTTGTCTTTATAACACCTTAATCTAACAGCTGAAATGTCTCCTCAGCCTTCATTAGTGTCTACAGGGGTAGTTCCTCACTAAATTAAACAAATCAGCAGAGTTCACGATTTAAAACAGGCAAGAAACGTGTTGGAAGCAGACTGCAGTGCCAGACATGTCAGCAGGTGGCAGCCCACCACTCTGAAGTTGCAAGTGCAATATTCTGTGTAAGTGTATAGGGTCATTTTAACACATACTGGCTCAAGAAAATGATTTTAAAAATATGAAAAAGTTGTATAGTCTCTTTTTAGAAGGAGAAATGTTATGACTTTTTTAAGTTGTAATAGTCCTATAGTAAATACAAAATATGTTTATAAAGTTTTTTTTCCACTAAATCCCTCTCTTATAAAACTATTTCATCAGTTTTATTCTTGATAGTTTCAGTGCCTTCTAGAAGGAGCTGTTTCAGGGCTCTGTCATTTGAAGAGAACGTTGGTTACGTATTGTAACCCCAGATTCTATGAGTCTAGTTGCAGCCCTTAAGCTAGCTGCTATTGGAAGGATGATCTCCGCATCAGCCAATCATGAAGAGCTTAAATGTACGCCCACCAATGGTGGGCACCCCTGTGGGTATATAAGTGGAGCGCCTCCACTGTTCGCCTCCGTTGGCTCTTAGGCCCTGTCCACACATAGCCGGGGATCTGCCAAAACGTAGATATTTTTCTACGTTTTGGCCTGTCATCCACACGAAAACGGAGTTTTTTCACACGAAAATGGATCTTTTTAAAAACTCCGGCCAAAGTGAAGATCTGCTTTTTCTCCGTTTTGGGTGTCTGCGTGTGGACGGACAAAACCGGAGTTTTAAGGTCCGCAACGTCACTTTCCGCGACAAAAAAATGCTGACATCACGTGTGCGACCTGTGTTTACACTAGCCGACAGCATGGATGCCCTCAGAGCTGCGCTCGCTTTATCAATTGACCAAGCTCTTTTTGCTTGTTTGTTTTTGCAAGCGGAATTACTGCTGCTTGCGGAAGACCTCAGACGAAGGACGAGGTAAAGAACGGGGGAAGTACTGCCGCCTACAGGTCTGGCATGTCAACAACGTATTTATCCGGGTACGTGTGGACAGTTTTTTTTTAAAGAGGTGGTGTGGATGCAAGTTTTTGGAGGGGCGGATATTTGTTTTAAAAAAAACCCGGCTACGTGTGGACTAGGCCTGAGTCCTAACAGAACCAGTGGGGCCATTTAAGGGCTGCGACTAGACTCAGAATCTGGGGTTACAATACGTAACCAACATTCTATTTCGTCTAGTCTTAGCCCTTAAGCTAGCTGCTATTGGAATAATGCGCAGCTGGATGGGTTTACGCCACACTAGTTAACTCAACCAATGGACACACCCAACATGTCTCCTTTTAGTGAGGGTAGCTCAGCCTCAGCCCAGGGCTTAAAAGGCTGAGGCAGCCAGAGAGAAGAATGGGGCCCACACTAAAATATCATCCACAAGAGGATGAAATTCATTCAAGTAGGGCCGATGTGGTGCCATAATGCTTTCACTCAGCCTGCTGAGATCCAAGCACTGAACGAGTGATGGATCCTGAAGACACATCTCGTAAATAATAACTAGTAAAGGAACAGGGTGAAGCCCATGAAGCAGCCTGACAAATGTCTTCCATCGACACACCACTGTGGAGCGCCATAGAAGAGGAAATCCCTCTGGCTGAGTGAGCCCTGAGTGTCTCAGGAGGATCCCGCCCTGATGATGTGCAAGCGAGTGAAATGGCGTCACACAGCCAGTGTGAAAAACGCTGGGTCGACAGTGCTTGCCCAAGGGAAGAATCTCTGTAGTGCACAAACAGGCTTTGTGAGCGGCGAATCCCTGAAGTGCGTGACACATATCGTGCGAGCGCGCGCACCGGGCAGAGAAGGTGGGAAGCCACCTCCTCATCAGAATTATGGGGAGGAGGAAAAAGTCCAGCCAATGAAATTGACCTGGATTTGAAGGAAGTATTAATGTTTTTAGGCACAAAGGCTGGGTTGGGGCATAAAACAGCAGACCCGCCATCTTCCCAGATCCTGAGGCATGCGGGAGCCACTGAGAGGGCGGTCAGGTCACTCACTCTCTTGACTGATGCCAGCGCCAGCAGCAAGGCAGTTTTGAGTGACAGGAACTTGAGTGAGACCTGGTCCAAGGGTTCAAATGGGGCTTCAGATAAGCCGCGCAGAACCACCGTTAGGTCCCACTGGGGGAATAGCGGTCGGGACACAGATCTGTTCCTTCTGACACCTTTTAGAAAACGTTTTGTGAGGGGATGATTGAAAACAGATCTATCTCCAAAACCCTGGTGACAGGATGAGATAGCTGCAACATATGTTTTAATAGTGCTAAATGCGAGGCTCCTGTCCATCAGTATCTGCAGAAACGATAGGACATCCGCCAGCTGGCAGGAGAGCGCTTGAACATTCTGCTCTGTGCACCATTTCTGGAAAGCTGCCCATTTAGCAGCATAAGATGTGACGGTAGAAGGCGCCCGCGCACTCTGAATCGTGGCGACCACATCATGCGGCAGCCCAGAAGCCTCTAAGCGTGACCGCTCAGTGGCCAGACCCACAGCCGTTGGCCTATTTCTGGAGGATGTTTGATTATCCCATCCGCCTGGAGAAGGGCGTCCGCCCTCCACGGGGAGCCGGACACTAGCGCTTGCAGATCTGGAAACCATGACGCGGACAAGCGTTTGGGAGCTACCAGAATTACCAAGAGCTGTTCCGACCAAACTCGGTCCAGGAGACGGGGGATCGGTGGGACTGGCGGAAACGCATACAGTGAGCTACTTATGTGGCAGTAGAGATCCACATGGCAGCACAAAAAGGATGCAAAAGTTAATCATGTCCCCTGGCTGAGCAAAGCCCATTTAAATATAAAACCCACATTTTGAGAGAATTTTGGAAGTTTCCAAATCCAGTTATCTGGTGGTGCCGGGTATGAAGATGCCGTGCCTTGCCTTGCAGGATGCTAGATCATTTCTCACACGTTCAAGCTACAGTTGTTTTGTTGAGTTTAACAATTACATTAGTTCGTTCTTACATCAAATCTTGCATCACCACACAACTGACACGAACAAAGAAGCACAAAACAAAAGGACAAATATCTTAGTCACACTTAACTAAATGTTTGTGTCCGTTTTTCTCCAGAGCAAGCCTTTATCAGCAGAAAAAACAAAAGATCCCTAAAGTTAAACGACTTGTTTCATTATGCTGCTCAGCTTCAAAGCACAGGAACATCAATTCACTGCCCGGCCAGAAAGCATTCGTTTACACCAGGTGTGGTCCCACGACTCAAGATTACCACACCGTTGGCAGCCGAGCGCTAGCGGCATGGAAACAGACCAACAACTCTCAACAAATGGGCCATTCAGCAGCAGGGCAGTCGAGGGACACTCCAGCCCACATTTGGCACAAACACTTAGTTCGTGTTAAAAGACGCTAAGGGCAGCTGATTGGAAATAAAACAGTTTTGTCTTCAGGAGTAGACAATGGCAGAAAGGTAAGGTAATGATAAATGAACATTCACTAATTGTTTCTGATCAAAAACACAAACAGTTATCATTAGAAATAAGTAGATTCCATGTTTGTTTAGTTCCAGCTCAAACTCTTGGTGTAGACACATTTTTATAGATATAATTTTTATAGTAATCATGAGGTTATTTATCCTCAGGTATGTTTAAATTTTAGCCATAATCTTGTAAAGTTTCTCTGCTTTTCATAGTGCCTTAAGAGTTCAAACTACAGGGGAGCTAGGGGGGACCTCAGCTCCTCAGAATGGGTGATGGACTCCCCCAGAAGCCCTAAACTGACACACCCAGGGGGAGCCCGATTCATGATCCAGTCCCCCAGCCTATGTGTGTAATTCGAGCCCTGAGTGGCTTTTGCTTTCCATTCAATCCCCACCTTCGTTGAACAGTTCGATGAAGTCCAGGGCGTGTTTTAGAATCACTCTCATAGCCTGAAAGATGTTACTCCTCAGAACACCCTGAGGCTGAGGGCCTACTTCCAGACCTGCAACCAAACAGTCAGCACATCCATCAGCATCTGTCTAACATCCAATTTTCTGTGCTTTTTTTATAAGTTAAAACACAGAGATTTACCAGAACTCTGTTCTTGTGAGAGCTTTTTATTCCATAGAAAGAACAGAAACTCACCAACAGGGTGTTTGGCCACCGAGCGAGAGGTGGAGTACTTCAGGTGAGGGTGTTCGTTCAGCAGAACAAGGCAACTGGCTGGGGCAATGGCTTTCTGCAACACAACCCCCAAAACATGATTAAATTAAACTTAAAATGAATACCGGTAACTCGTTTAGGATCCTGCACCAATCCACTCTGGTTGAATTATATAGTAAAAAGCACTCTTTAATTGGTCAAATTGCAGAAGTTAAAACTAGAAGCTTCTATTTCTCATCAGTAGAACAAGAAAAATCAACAGTCACTCAATAACAGTTGTGAGTTAAAGTGTGTAAAATATGTGATGCTTTAGAGTTAATCTTTCATCTTTTCTGTGATCATTCTTGTTTCTAAATCTGTCACGAGTTTGGTTTCTCAGTCACATCAAGAGTGTTTGTTACATTTGTCCTCGTTTTTCATCCCTGCTGCTCCTCACCATGCTTTTATTTTGACACAGGGCTGCAAAAGCAGAAAAAGTCAGTAAAAGGAAGAACAAAATGGGTCCTATTTCACGAGGAATGTTTGCAGCTTTAGTTTTTATAAATTGTGACAAAATTCAAATCTCAAATTAACCAACCAAAACAAATAACATGAGAGAGGAGGTAAATAAATGTGTGGTCTGCATAATTTGCCTTTATTATTGCAGATAAAAATAGACATAAACTACATTTTTTATCATTCAGTTTAATCCATAACTAGCCTGGCAAGCCACCCTATATATGTGCAAGGCAAGAATTTGGTCTAGTTCACTAGGCTAGTTTATAACACCTTTGGTTAATTTTAATAAAGAACATTTTCTCTGAAATAAACAAATGTATTTATTCATTTTGAAATGTTTTTCCAGCATGTGGACTTGGACAGTGAGAAAGATTCCTGAACAAAGAAAAAAAGTTTTTTTTGAGTCAATAGATGAAAATAAGTGAACTGCTTTGCACACTTTGGGCATTCTCTCGATAAGCTTCAAGAGGTAGTCACCTGAAATGGTTTTCCAACAGTCTTGAAGGAGTTCCCAGAGGTGTTTAGCACTTGTTGGCAACAAGAGTGTGCAAAGCAGTTATCAGAGCAAAGGGTGGCTATTTTGAAGAAAATAGAAGGTTTTCAGTTATTTCACCTTTTCTGGTAAAGTACATAACTCCACATGTGTTCATTCATAATTTTGATGCCTTCAGTGAGAATCTACCAGAAACTCATTATATATATATATATATATATATATATATATATATATATATATATATATATATATATATATATATGTGTGTGTATATATGTGTATATATGTGTATATATATATATATATACATATATATATATATATATATATATATATATATATATATATATATATATATATATATATGTGTGTGTGTGTGTGTGTGTGTATGTATATAACATTTGTACATACATACATACATATACATATATACTGTGTGTGTAACTAGATTTGTGCGTATGTAAGAAGATTTGTGGATATGTAAATAGATCTCTGTGTAACTAGATTTGTATGCGTGTAATTAGATTTGTGTGTGTGTGTAACAAGATTTGTGTGTGTAACAAGATTGGTGCGTGTGTAACAAGATTTGTACGTTTGTAACAAGATTTGTGCATGTGTAACAAGATTTGTGCGTGTGTCACAAGATTTGCGTGTGTAACAGGATTTGTGCATGTGTAACAAGGTTTGTGTGTGTTACAAGATTTGTGTGTAACAAGATTTGTGCGTGTGTAACAAGATTTGTGAGTGTGTAACAAGATTTGTGCATGTGTAACAAGATTTGTGCGTGTGTAACAAGATTTGTGCGTGTGTAACAAGATTTAAGTGTGTAACAGGATTTGTGTGTGTAACAAGATTTGTGCATGTGTAACAAGATTTGTGTGCGTAACAAGATTTGTTTGTGTAACAAGATTTGTTTGTGTAACAAGATTTGTGCGTGTGTAACAAGATTTGTGCGTGTGTAACAAGATTTGTGTGTGTGTAACAAGATTTTTTGTGTGTGTGTAACAAGATTTGTGTGTGTGTAACAAGATTTGTGTGTGTGTGTAATAAGATTTGTGAGTGTGTAACAAAATTTATGTGTGTGTAACAAGATTTGTGAGTGTGTAACAAGATTTGTGTGTGTGTAACAAGATTTGTGTGTGTAACAATATTTGTGTGTGTAGCAATATTTGTGTGTGTAACAAGATTTGTGTGTGTAACAAGATTTGTGAGTGTGAAACAAGATTTGTGTGTGTGTGAAACAAGATTTGTGGGTGGGTGTAACAAGATTTGTGAGTGTGTAACAAGATTTGTGAATGTGTAACAAGATTTGTGTGTGTAACAAGATTTGTGAGTGTGTAACAAGATTTTTGTGTGTAACACGATTTGTGTGTGTAACAAGATTTGTGAGTGTGTAACAAGATTTGTGTGAATAACAAGATTTGTGAGTGTGTAACAAGATTTGTGTGTGTAAAAAGATGTATGTGTGTGTAACAAGATTTGTGTGTGTAACAAGATTTGTGCATGTGTAACAAGATTTGTGTGTGTAACAAGATTTGTGTGTAACAAGATTTGTGAGTGTGTAACAAGATTTGTGTGAGTAACAAGATTTGTGAGTGTGTAACAAGATTTGTGTGTGTAAAAAGATTTATGCGTGTGTAACAAGATTTGTGTGTGTAACAAGATTTGTGCATGTGTAACAAGATTTGTGTGTGTAACAAGATTTGTGTGTGTAACAAGATTTGTGCGTAACAAGATTTATGTGTGTAACAAGATTTGTGCGTGTGTAACAAGATTTGTGAGTGTGTAACAAGATTTGTGCGTGTGTAACAAGATTTGTGTGTAACAAGATATTTGTGTGTGTGTAACAAGATTTGTGTGTGTGTGTAATGCGATTTGTGAGTGTGTAACAAGATTTGTGTGTGTAATGAGATTTGTGAGTGTGTAACAAGATTTGTGAGCGCGTAACAAGATTTGTGAGTGTGTAACAAGATTGTGTGTGTAACACGATTTGTGTGTGTAATAAGATTTCTGTGTGTAATGAGATTTGTGAGTGTGAAACAAGATTTGTGAGTGTGAAACAAGATTTGTGTGTGTGTAACAAGATTTGTGAGTGTGTAACAAGATTTGTGTGTGTAACATGATTTGTGTGTGTAACAAGATTTGTGTGTGTAACAAGATTTGTGTGTGTAACAAGATTTGTGTGTGTAACACGATTTGTGTGTGTAACAAGATTTGTGTGTGTAACAATATTTGTGTGTGTAATGAGATTTGTGAGTGTGTAACAAGATTTGTGAATGTGTAACATGATTTGTGTGTGTAACAAGATTTGTGTGTGTAACAAGATTTGTGTGTGTAACAAGATTTGTGTGTGTAACACGATTTGTGTGTGTAACAAGATTTGTGTGTGTAACAATATTTGTGTGTGTAATGAGATTTGTGAGTGTGTAACAAGATTTGTGAATGTGTAACAAGATTTGTGAATGTGTAACACGATTTGTGTGTGTAACAAGATTTGTGTGTGTAACAAGATTTGTGTGTGTAACAAGATTTGCAGATATGTAAATAGATCTGTGTGTAACTAGATTTGTATGTGTGTAAATAGGTTTGTGTGTGTGTGTAATTAGATTTTTGTGTGTGTGTAACTAGATCTATGTGTGTGTGTAACTAAAGATCTCTGTGTGTGTAACTCTTGATTTGTAACTTTTGTTTATATTTTCATGCGTAGCTTAAATTCTTACACACTCCAAGGGCCACAAATGGCACCCGGGCCACACTTTGGACGTCTGTTTTAAAGTTTATCAGAGAGTAACTGGACTAAAGTATATAGAGCGAAGTCTAGATACATCACTGGTTGATTCTCTGAGTTTATTAGTTACACGTGTTAACTAAGTCTGTGTAAGAAAAACTGGTTTTCGTAAAACAGTGATGCGGTTGTAGAAAATCAGTGACTCTTGCTGACAGGGTTTCACTTTTATCATCAAAACTGTTTACCAGCATCCTACACACGTGTGTATGTTTCTAGAGTTTAACTTATCAGGACAAAATAAAACTCATTTGATCGTTAATAGGTTTTGATAATTTTTAGAATCTTGCAACAAGTGGAAACACACCAGATTCCACTATGTCACAGTTTATTACTCATTAATCCAGACTACAATCCTGTTGCTATGCTCCTTTGAACACTTCCCTGCGGTGAACTTTAACCTTTAACTTGCTAAGTGAAACCTATACGGTCTAAGATGGAGATGTTTTGTATTTAATCCTTTGAACATTGCATAGTCTGATCTCCACTTCTGGAAAGATTGGCAGCTGCCGGAAGAGTTTTCTGTAGAATGATAATGTTTTTTGGGGGATGATCTTTGGTCCTTCCTGGAACTGTTTCTTCTCTAAGGTCTTTTCATCTCGACTCATGTTAACACACACCTGTATGCTCCAGAGAAGCCTTCTTGTTGTCTTAGAGGTGGTGACACTGATGATAATCAGTTAATTAGGAGCATTTAAATAGCAGCACATTATCCGATATAGAATCATTTTTGTCTAAATCTTTCATTTCTTTCATGATCTTTTCTGTTTTTGATCACCCAAATTAATTTGTTTTCATTTAATTTTTTTTTTGTTTTAACCAAGTTTTAATTTTGATGGGATTTTCCTTCTTTTCTGTGATGGGTGAAGATAAATAAATTTTACTTCCTTAAAGCAGCTCTGGCTTTATTATGACATGGTGAAAACCCAATAAATATCGGACAATTTTCATTATGTCCTGATACATTAAATACAATTAAAAGAGGGTGGACTTTATTTTCCCACATGCAACAAAACAGTGTTTCAGCCTCTCTTCAATAGCTTTGTGCAAACATGGAGGTAGACCCCTTTTACCTTCAGACTGATCTGTGTTGTATGAAACTATAGTGATCCTTCTAAAACGGGCCGTCACCTTTATGTAATTCATCATCTGCAGGTTGAAGCTGTCTTTGGAGTTCTCCAGGATCAACGTGGAGCCCATGTTGGACGTGGTGTTGTGGAGGTCAAAGATAACGTCATAGGCTTCCGGGCTTCCCTTGGGCCCAAATATCCGGTTGATCTCCTGGGCTCTCTGCACCTCGTAGGGCAGCGTGTCCCCTCCGAGTGAACTGCAGGACACACACACACACACACACACACACACACACACACACACACACACACACACACACACACACACACACACACACACACACACACACACACACACACACACACACACACACACACACACATTATTTACAGAGCTGGGAAAGAGCAAAAAATGAAAACATGATTATTTTTATGTTGAAACAACTCATTGACCGGCTCTCTTGCCCGCTTTGTTTGTCTCTGCGGGCTCTTTTCTCTAAAAACTCCCGATCTAGTACATTCTTCAAGCCTCAGCAGAATAAGCACTAGCATTCGCCCTTTAGACCCTGTCCCCCCACCAACTGTCTGGTGTTTTCTGGACGCTGCTGTGAGTAACTGTCGACATAAAGTCCTCAGCTGAGAGAAGACCAGGTGCTGAATCTCAGGAAAAATATGAGCTGTTTTAGAAGAAAAAAAAAAGCCGCAAACGATTTCATCTCCTTGACTCGCCTAAAAACACACCTTCTCCGCTTGGCGTTTCCTGAACATGTTTGATTCGGCCCTCTTTTACGTAGAATTTCTTTCACAGTTTTCATTGGTTCACTCTATCCCTTGTTTTACCCATCTGTCCTGTACTAGAATGTTTCACTTTTTTTTTGTAATTTGTATTTTGTAATTTGAATTGCTTTTATTTCTGAATTGCTTTTATTTTTTATTTATTCACTATATTTGTACTTCTACTGTACCATGTTCAGCGCCTTGGGCTTCCTGACAGGGTTGCGGAAGGCGCTTTATAAATGGTAAATGGTAAAAATGGCCTGTATTTGATATAGCGCCTTCTAGAGTCCTAGAACCCCCCAAGGCGCTTTACAACACAATCAGTCATTCACCCATTCACACACACATTCACACACTGGTGGGGATGAGCTACGATAGCCACAGCTGCCCTGGAGCGCACTGACATAGGCGAGGCTGCCGAGCACTGGCACCACCAGTCCCTCCAACCACCACCAGTGTCCTGCCCAAGGACACAACGACAGCGACAGACTGAGAGGGACTCGAACCAGCAACCTTCTGATTACAAGGCGAGCACTTAACTCTTGTGCCACCGTCGCCCCTTTATAAATAAAGCTTTGATTGATTGATTGATTGATTGAAACAAAGCTGAGGAAGATCAACCAACATCTGCAGAATGAGGCTTTAACGCATCACCCGTAGAGCTCTGATGTTTATTTTTGTCTCATAAAAACAATCACAGATTATTATGCAACAATGATCAAAATCAGTCTGTGTCATTTCCATAGAGGAGAGCGGTGGTGCAGACTGGGCTCAGTTTGTTTACATGCATAAAATCAGCTTGTGAGGCGCATCATTACAATTTTAAATTATGTAATCTTCAGACTGATAAAAACAATTATAAATACTGCTTTTATTGCTTATAATCAACAATTTTTACTAAAACTTTTTTTATCATTCAACAATTTTTAGCTGGACTTCAGATCATGGTTACACTTCTTTTTTTCAGCAGATGTTTCTCACCTGTTTAGTTAGTCACCCTGTAAAGCTTTTTGACACCAAATTGTATGAAAACTGCTTTACAAACAAAGCTTGATTAATTGATGGTTTAAATTAGAACAACCTTTTCAAAATTACAATACAAAACTTGTTAGATTAGACCACTGGATTACATTAGATTAGGGTTCTTGCAATTCGCCACAGGAGGCAGTTGTCCAGCAGCAAAAGAAGCCAAAGGTCAACAGTCACAAGATAACTCACCGCTTTGTTCTTCTGTCCTTGCAGCCTCTACTTGCTCTTACTGCTTTTGAAGTAACATTATTTGTTATTTTATATTTTAGTGAGTCGTTTTGTCGCTGCTTCTTGTGCTTTTTAATGTCATTTTTATTATTTTAACTATGCCTGTGGATGCATTTCTGTATCTTGTTGCTTGATGTTAGATTTCCCCTTTGAGGATGAATAAATTAAATCCATCTATCCGATTCTCTAATTCCATTGTTAATTACGTCTGTATTACTATAAGCCTGAAAGAGATTTAAATCACTAAACTCATAATTTTACCACAAAATGATTCATTTATGAGAAATGAATATTTTACTTTGTTCTTTATTCCTACATGGATTACGCATAAAACAACTTTCTTAGACACTTCAAAAGACATGTACTCTCCAGTTACCTGAAAAATGCTAAATGTTTTGTCTTTGATGCATGAGAAATCTGTACGAAATTGTTTGATGACATTTTCATGGGTAAGTTTTTAAAAAGCATGAATGAAGGGTGTAATCAAGCCAGAGATGCTGTGATTTGCACACATCCTCCTCCTCCGCTGTCACTGAGGTGATCCCAGAAAACAAGAAGAAAATCCTGCTGGTTTTTTTGCAGCTCGGTCACGTTCCGCTCACGTTTCTCCTGCAGGCTGTCTGGCGGTGAGCCGCAGCCCGGGCCAGGAGGAGGGGAGAGAGGGGAGGAGGGGACGCGGAGCGCCGCTGTCATTGGGTACTGGACCCACACACTAACCTGTGAGATGGAAATCCACGTGACGTGAATAAAAAAATAAACATCTTGTAGGATTTGCCTCTGGATCAGGATTTATATATTTTATTTACCATCCCGTGACGCAAGGTGTTTATTAGTGTGGCAGTGCGCGCGCCCGCTCGGTGACATGACAGCCCCTCGCAAATAAACAGACGTTTGAGATGAATGTCACCGGAAAGTTGTTGCTTTCGCGGGAGCGCCGTTTACCTGAGGTTCTCCGGGGAGAAGGCTCGGTTCAGATCCGTGTCTACATATCTGATGCACTTCTCCACAGCCTTCGGGTTCGCGATGAAAGCTCTGGTCTCAACTCCTTTCCTCTGGATCTCCGCGCTGTTCTTCGCCCACAGGTTTGCAAGCGTCACGCCGGACATCTCGTTCCCGTGCGTTCCTCCGAAAATAGCGACTCTGCGCGCCGCGGCGAAAAGCGCCGTGTTGTTGTTATAAGAAGACATGACAACGCGACGGGAGCTGACAGGCTAAAGTTACTGTAACTTTCCAGCTGCCTCTCCGTTTAAATACCTGTCGAGGCTGCGTGCTTACGTAACGAGTCCGCCCAGCTGGACCGTTATGTCAGCGTGCGTAAAAACACCCATGTGCGCGCGCATTTCGGATTGTGGACGAAACTAACCCGATAACCAGGTTTAACCTGACCCACACAATTCTAAAATAGTTGTCATTTATTCCAAGATGTTTCGTTTCTAAGCTGGCTGTAAGTCACAATTTCCGGTGTTTTTCAAAATAAATGTGTTTTGCTTGCAGAATTAAAATGAAAATTTTATTTTTTAATGATATATTTCACTTTATTTTAAGTGGATGTGTAGCTTTAATTAACAATAAACAGTTCCACAATATCATGTTAGAAGGATTAGTTTGGTGGAACACTTAAACTATGGTGACTTGTACATTTATTTTTTTCTAAAATGTTATTTGGGACTGGAAGAATAACACTTGTTGAATCAGGGTTGGGAAGGATGGAGAAAAGTGTAGGTGGGATAAGATTATTTCCACGAATGAAAGGGGGTACCCAGGTGTGTCTAACAGTGAGGATCCGGGGCCATTTACGGCCCTCAAGGTGATATTTTTTGGCCTTTAATTTAATTTCTAGAATTAAGAGTTTAGATGCTCCTGTTGACTATTAATGATGATGACCAGTTTCTAACATTTTTATATTCAGATTCTTACTGATTTGCCTTTTTTTGAGAAGTAAATGCATGAACATTAAATAACTTTGGATTATCATAGAAGGAAACCAAAATAAAACAAAATTGCAACACTTGTGGTAAATATCCAGTTATTATCTGGGTCATCAGCTGTCAGAATGAAATCAACCAAAGTTTAAAAAAATAGAAAATTTTCAACAAATATGTTGTTCGCTTGCTCTTATATGGAGACTTTTATTTTGAAAACATGATCAAGTAGTAATGGCCCATTGAAATAAATAAAATCTTAACAATAAAATAGTCGAGATTTGGTTATTTTTATGCTTTAGAAAGTACTAAACCTTCTAACATAGTCATGAAGAACAAACGATCAGCCGTTTAGAAAAACAGTAAAGCTCCCATCGCCTGGCCGGCCAGGAGCAGCACAGTAACAGTCAGTAAATATGTTTCAGGTTTGGAGAGACGCCTCTGATGAAGCAGCGTTAAAACAGGAATCCGTTACGTCCTTAAGTTTGGTTAGAAGTTTTCTTTTCTTTCATAAATTCACAATTCTCTCCCCTTCTTTCTTTTACATCACCCAGCTGTCTTTTCCCAGATTTACCTGAAAGAGGTAAAACAGACTCAACTCAACCAGTTTCTCTCGTCTCTTCTGCATCTTTTTTTCTCTTCTTCTTCTTCCTCTTCTTCACCACAGCCTCCACAGTTTGAGAATTTTCCACATCAGCCAAACTTTCCACTTTTTCCGTTGAGCTCATCGCCTCGCTGTTGTTCCTTTTCCGTCTCTTTTTCTTCAGATGCATCCTCCAGTTTCTTAAATTCTGCTTCTCTTTCCACACACTCTGGAGCAGCAGACCTCTTCTTCTTTTCCCTCCATCTTTTGATTCCGAGTAACCTTCCGTGGCGTCTGCTGATGTGGCTGTTAAAGCCTCGGTGCCGACATCAGGAGGAGCTGCAGACGGGGAAGGACCATGTTGCTGCTTGTGTTTCTTTCTGCTTTTTTCCTCTTCGTCAGCAGCGAGGAAGGAAGAGGTCTTCTTTTTCTTTATCTGCACCAACACAGAATCACCTGGAGGTGTTATGGTCTCCTCGCAAATAACTGCGCTGGAACTTCCTCTCATTTTCTTCTTATTCAGTTCAGCCCTTTCCTTCTTTTTCTGTGAGTTATCAGCTTTGTGTGAGATGTCCTCAGTCGCAGAGATGCTTATCTTTGTAACAGTTAAATTCAGGCCCGTTTCCATGGTTACAGCATCATCATCATCTCCAGCAATCAGAGGGTCGTCGGTAGAAGTTGGCTCTTTCTTCTTTTTTCTTTTGGTGGATCTAGATTCTGTTGTTTCCAGGGACACTTCTGTATTTTCTAAATGCTTTCCTGTTTCTTCGTGGTGTCCTGGTGAGGTTTGAGGAACATCTGGATCCAGGTGTTTCTTCTTCTTCTTCTTAGTGCTCCCAACACCACTGGTTTCAGCAGCTATGTTCCCCTCCACAAAATTTCTTCTCTTCGTCTTTTTAGAGACGGTCCATTCCTCTACATGATTGTCCACCGCTTGTTCCTCAGGTTGTTCTTGTCCGACTTCGTCTTCCTTTGAGAATTTGTCTTTTTTCTTCTTTTTCTTTTTAAAGACGGTCAATTTCTCTACAGGATTGTTCGCCACCTGTTCTTCAGGTTGTCCCTGTCCAAATTCGTCTTCCTCTGAGAATTTCTCATTTTTCTTCTTCGTCTTTTTAGAGATGGTACATTTACTGTCGTCTACAGAATCGTTCTTCACCTCTTCTTCAGGTTGTCCCTGTCCAAACTCGTCTTCTTCAGCAGACTTCTCTTTCTTCTTCGTCTTTTTAGAGATGGTCCATTTCTCTACAGGTCTGTCCTCCGCCTGTTCCTCAGGTTGTCCCTGTCCCTCTTCTTCTTCCTCTGCAGATTTCTCTTTTTTCTTCTTCGACTTTTTAGAGATGGTCCATTTACTGTTGTCTACAGAACCATCCTCCACCTGTTCCTCATGTAGTCCCGGTCCAACTTCTTCTTCTGCAGATTTCTCTTTTTTCTTCTTTGTCTTTTTAGAGACGGTCCATTCCTCTACATGATTGTCCTCCGCCTGTTCCTCAGGTTGCTCTTGTCCGACTTCATCTTCCTTTGAGAATTTCTCTTTTCTCTTCTTTGTCTTTTTAGAGACGGTCAATTTCTCTACAGAATCGTCCTCCATCTGTTCTTCAGGTTGTCCCTGTCCAACATCTTCAGCAGATTTCTCTTTTTTCTTCTTCGTCTTTTTAGAGACGGTCCATTTACTGTCCTCTACAGAATCGTCCTCCACCTCTTCCTCAGACTGTCTGTGTCTGACTTCTTCTTCTTCTGGAGTTGCATCCTTTGTCTTCTTCTTTTCCTTCCATTTTAAAACAGGAGTGTCCACTTGTTGACTGAGATGTTCTTCTTTGGTGATGTCCACCAGATAATGCTGATCATCTGTCGCTTTTTGATTATGTTCCTCGTCTTCTCTGTCTTTTTTCTTCTTCCTCTTCTTCACTCTGGATTTCCTGCACAGTGTATCATTATGAATGTCGATGGAGGAGGGATTCTGATTTTCAAGTCCACACGCCGCTCTTTCTGATTTGCTTTGCCCATCTGTGTGGAAATCCTCACAGTTGGGTTCTGTTGGAGCTATGCGCACTTCCTGGTCCCTTCGTATGTGCTTGTCTGGACTTGGCTCACAAGCTGTAGCACGGCTGCTATTAGTAATCAGACTCTCCTCTGTCGGCCTTCCAATTTGAGCAAAGATGTCTGCGGCGCTCGCCTCATTTTTCCTCGACACAACAGTTTCGTCATCAGAGGACTCTGTAGCTGAAGACAGAAACTCTTTTGAGAGCATATTCTGTGATCTTCTGTCTGTCCCTTTTGCTTCCTCTTTTTGTGAGTCTTTTAAGGCTTTTTTTTGTATTTCGTTCTCACTGGATCTCTTGTCTGAACTGTTCCAAGATTGGGATCTCGTTTTCCTTAACGATGTCACAAAACACTTCCTTTCCTGTGAGGCGACACACAGGTTAGCGTCGTATTCCCTCTCAGAAAATCGTCTGACGTGCACTTTTCTGACGCGTCGACGGTCTGCTCACCACCACTTTGATGTCTTCACCCTCCGACGTTTCCTCTCCTCCTCTGTAACAGAACAGAAGAGCTTTATTATCATTGCACATCTTTGAAAGGTTATTATTACTCATGGGTTTGTCTGTGCGACTCTCAGTGATCAGTGGATAAACATCCAGAACTGATTAACCTTTAGAGTCAACACAATAAAAGACGGACAGCATTACTAATAATAAAAAACTGCTACAGCTCAGTCAGTTTAACAGAAATAGGGCTAAAATATGAGCCCTCATCTATGATCATGAGCTTTGGGCTGTGACCAAAAGACTGAGATCGTGGATACAAGCGGCCAAAATGAGTTTTCTCTGCACTTGTTTACAAAAATCTCCTCTGACTGTTTTAGACTTAAACAATTTAATTTTGTTGCAAAAGCTCAACCATAAGGACAAAAAACTTGGAATTTTATCAGACAGCTGCAGAGGTATACACATTTTCTCTGATCTGATTGAAAGAAACCCTTGAATGAGTGAAATATCTGCTACTTTTTTGGACACAGATAAACTTACTCTGACATTGAAGACAGGACCTCTCCATCCGTGTCAATGGTTGGTAGGGATGCTGCCAGATCACCTCCAAGTTCAAAACTTCGCCACAGCTCACGGACAGATATGATGAAACTTGCCATTGCACACGTCTGCAAGTGCAACATCTCTGCATGACATGCCTCAAAGTTTTATTACATAAAGATGTGCATTTTTGTTTTCTTACCTGGAATTTTGCATTCTTGACGTTATTGATTATTGGCTTTGACTTATTGTCCTCGTTGAGGAAAGAGAATTTGAACTTTGGGACTTTGTAGCAATTTTTATTCCCTTTGCGGGCTGTCTCCGGCTCTTCATCAGAAGATGATGATGAGTCAGGTACTAGTTCTGCTAAATCTTCGTGTTGTTGAAGTTTGGAGTCTGATCTGAGGTTAGTGTGCCTTCTTCTTCCTGATCTCACAGCTTCAGGTACGTCTTTCTGCGTGATGAACAGGCTATCCCCCGAATCACTGCACAGACATTCAGGATCTCAGATTGGATCTGTTTGATCACATTTATCATGCACTTACCATTCCTTACCTATTAGCTTCACCTGGACCATCATCTACCCCCTCCTGTCCGCTCTGAACCGAAGAACGCTCAAAATTGGGTAAAAACATAACGTGACCTGACCTGGTCGAACTTTCCTCTAAGACTAAATAAACAGCTGGATCTGGTGTGCGGCGACTTTAACATTGTGTTAGCAACATTAGCAACAGCTAGCTATCCAAGCTACAGTAGCCGCTTAGGACAAAAACCATTAGGACTAAACGAAAAATGAATACATTAATAACAAAAACTTGTAACTACACAAAAAGAAAGCAGTGCAACATGCGTGCTACTGAATAAACCAGGAAAAGATGATTAAACGTCACCATCATCTGGCCAATCATCAAAGAGGCGAGAAACGGAAAAGTAGCAAGCGAATCAAACCTTCTTCTTCCGGTTTCAGCTAAAAAAAAAACTTGCATTTTAGAGCGTGGCAGCCTTATAAAATGAATAGCACGTATAAGCATATTTTACACTTTTTGTTATGCTACACTCTGTTTTTGTACTTTAACACCACGGAAGTCTTCGCGTGGAAGTGGAAGCTGTCACTGTTAGCCAAACTTTCGGGGGATGAACTTTCTTGTCACTATTTCTTCTTTGGCTGGACCGATGGGCTGGACTTTACCCTGAGCGAAGTCACAAGGAGCACGTTTACCTCTTTAGCTGAAGATAGAATGGCAGAAATAAGCAAAACTGAAAAGACCCAGCTGCACGCCCCGGCTCTGGAAGAGCTGCGCGGAGGTAAGGATTTGGATTTTAACGTGAAAACAAAATGTTTTATGAACTTTTCATACAGACATCATTTCCTGCTGGTTCCAGTGTTGCAAGCTGGACTAAAAAGCAATTTTGCAGAAGTCCAGGTGAGTGTTGTGGAGTGTCCGGATCTCACCAAGGAACCCTTCCAGTTTCCTGTCGAAGGTAAAAGCTCATCAGACACACATCCGTTATGCTTTTTTGCTGTGAGGTACCTGTGTCTGGTTGCACAATATCAGTTTGACATTAAACTTACCTAAACATCACACTCATTTGCAGGATGCGTCCCTATTAGATTCGTGCTGAGCATGGTGCTGAGGCTGCCTCTCCTAATTTTCTAGGTCTTTGTGGAAATCCTCGTATTACTGATGTTGGGGGCGTTCCATATTTGATCCCTTTGGTTCAAAATCACAAGGTAAACAAAAGCACTGGCAGCAGCTATTGCACACTGATAATGTAAGGGTTTCTAATGTAATCCTTTTTTTTTCTTACAGGAATATGACATGAACATGATATCAAAGGAGCTCGAGCTTCCAGGAGCATTCATCCTTGGTGCTGCAGCTGCCCCCTCCAGAATTATTGGGATGAATGCAGAGGTGGAAATTTACATAAGGATTTACAAAGGATTTCCTTTATAAGCAGCACTGTTTACATATACACAACATCTTGTACTTATGCTGGAGGCTTGATGACAGCATCAGATTCCTGAAACTTGCATCTTCTCTGTTTCTGATCAGAGTAAATTATTGGGTTTTAATGTAAGTTTTGTGTCTTTTGGAGGCTTTTAAACTGTATATGATTAAGTTGTGTGGTACCTTTTGGTGTGTTTCATACCTTTGTGATAAATGGATCACCTGAAAAGCATTCTCACCCACAGCTGATGCCTCTAGTTCTCACTGAGGCAGAGGGAAGACCAGCAGTGAATGCCAGCTACTTCTCCTCCATCAACCCAGCTGATGGTCAGTGTCTGCAAGAAAAATATGGTGAGAAATACTCAGACTGCAGCTTTGGACTGTTGGGGAACCTGTATGCCTGCGAAGGGAAACCTGGAAAGGTAACATGTCTTCACATGGTTTTAAATTAACCTGAACTTTAGCCCCATCACACGTGTTCGCACATTTTTAGAAAAAGTCAGCTGCTGAACAAGCAGAGCGGTTCCTGTGTGTGTGTGTGCACATTTCTCCAGGTCATAGAGGTGCGAGCTAAAAAGAGAACAGGAAGTGACAGCCTGGTAACAGCCCTGAGACGGACTCTGGAAGCTCACTATCCTGATAAAAGCCTTGCTCTTGGCGGCACCTTTATCATCCAGAAAGGGAAGGCTAAAATCCACATTATGGTAAAAACAGAACGGGACACATTACTGACCAATGCTGACAATAACTTACACTGTTTGTTAATTTTATTTTTGTTCTGGATCATCAAAAGCCTAGAGAGTTCTCCGTCTGCCCCCTCAACACCAACGATGACGTCAACAACTGGCTCAAGCACTTTGAGGTCAGCGCTCCACTCATCTGCCAGTCTGTGTTCGTTTCCAGAGACCCTGTGAGTAAAACAACCTGGTATCCGGCTAGATAAATTAAAATATACCTGGTTACAGTTTTTTGTATAACTTTATTTACATTTGACTGCTCTGTGTTAAGGGTTTGGACCTACGAGTGGAGCACACTCACCTCTTCAGCCACCATGGAGAAGGTGGTCACTACTACATCGATACTACACCCGACAGCGTGGAGTACCTGGGCTACTTCATGCCCGCAGAGTTCGTTTATCGCATCGACAGACCCAAACAGACACACACAGTTGGGCGAGACTAAGAACATTTTTAAAAATGTGTTGGTAGCGTTAAAACAAACGCCCTCTAGTGGCTGGTTCCAGTACAGATTTAAATCCTGACCCTTTCATGTAAACAAATGTGATATTTTTCTGACTAAAATAATAAAAACACACTTTAGATCATCTTTTCCAGGTGTTGTCTTTGGCAAATTCACATATTCCTTGGTTTGATTTTGCAAGTTCAAATATTATTTTGTCAAATTTTGCTTGATTTTATTATTTGAAGTAAAAAAAAATCACCATGATTGTGTTTGTTTGTGTGTTCTGCAGATGGTTTTATCGATGGGGACGTACAAATGATAAAGTAACAAGCGAGTTAGTTCCAGTTCAGGGCTGGTGACAGAGACGGTGCTTAACTGGGTCCTTCAAAGAACCAGACTACCATTTCCTCTCACTCACCTAGGGCCTTTTTAATGTGCATCATTTTGTTCTGTGGGAGGAAGCTGCTGGATTACCCAAAGTAAACCAATGGAATGCATTAGGAGAATGTGCTAAATCAGCAAAGAAAGGCTGCAGATATGATCAAACTTACAATTTTAACCAGTCAAAATTTCTATTTCATGAACTGTACCATCATGCATTCCTGATAAGATGCAGTTTATTGTCATGCATTTTGTATGAGCTCTGAATGTTTATCCATCCATCCATTTTCTGAACCCGCTTTGTCCACGCAGGGTCGTGGGGTGGGGGTGGGGTGCTGGTGCCTATCCTCAGCGGTCAACGGACAATCAGGCCGGGTACACCCTGGACAGAGAGCCAGTCCATCGCAGGGCAGAATGTTTATCTATAAAACAAATAATATTTCACGGTATAATTGGGTTTTGTTTGACGTTCAAATGTATTATCTCTATGAAAATGATACATTCAGAGCCTTGATTTGCACCGATGACATTCACTTGTACTTAAATATGTAGCTTTGCCGAAACAAAGATGCACTGTTTATGCAGGATGTAAGCAAACATTTTCTTGCAGGAAGGAGGAAAGTTTGGTGTGATTACTATTTGTTCAGCTTTCTTGTTCACAGCTGGCATTTATGTTGTAAAGTGATAAAAGTAAAAAATAATCACGTATTTCTGTTAACAAAATATCTAGATATTAGCAATTTAAACGAATAAATTAATAAGTAGCTGCTGGATGGTGAATGGGGCCATCTCCTGATCAGAGCTGCAAACACAACATTTCCCACAATGCTGCAGCCCGGAAGTGAGTCTTTATTGACAACATGGCCACCGAGCTAGGTTTGGGTCTGGAGAAAATTTGGATTTGACAGCACTGGCCAGGGGCTGCAAGTATAACCGAGTTCCGCTCCAGGAGAGAGCCACGCCGATGCATTTGAATGAAGGGAGCCGTGAACCCACGGGACGGTGATAGCGAGCAGAGGAAACGTCCGGAGCGTGAAACCCGTCATGTCGTTTTTTAAGAGGAAAGGTGAGGAAGAAGCTCCCACTGCGGGCTTGCAGCGTCAGTGAAGAGTCCGGCTGAGAACCAAGGAGTCCACGATCGGATGACAGTGATGTAGTTGAGATTAAGACTGTAAATGAGGTCAAAGCAGAGCGGTGTGTGAGGTTTACCTGCTGCTAATACACAGCTAGCTTAGCGGTGGCCTCTCTGTTCCCCGGCCTCTGTTAAACCGTTGTTAGTTGGGCAGGGTGGCAGTTAATCTGTCTCATTCAGCCTTCAGTAGTTAAATAGTTCATGTAGACTTTTAAATTGTTTTCTTAGCATTTACGAAGCGCGTTTTGCTAGCTGTGTTTCAATAAAGTGTCCAGAAAATGCGAACGAAATGCTTGCTAACGTAAGTTCCAAACATTACCGTAATACATGTTGAATCTGACCCATGAAAGAAAATATTTCTGATAAGAAAAATCTTCTAATTTAAAAACAAAAATGACGTGTCAAAAATTACAGAGCCAGTCGTATTTTTATCTATAGCTGTAGCTAATGGGTTTAAATAGTCCCCCCTTAACTGGTGTCATATCTACACACATTATGGTAGACACAGAATCCCGAATCAACTTTCATACGTGAATCATTTTAACAAATTTGTGATTTATTGTAGACAAACAGGATTAGAAGACATTAGTCATATCGTTGGTATTGTTTAATCACAGCTGAACTAGTAAGACACTAGCAGTGATTGTGCAACACATTACACAAAGTGTGTGTGTGTGTGTGTGTGTGTGTGTGTGTGTGTGTGTGTGTGTGTGTGTTGTCATTTCAGGAAACCAACAGAGACATTTCAGCAGTTTGAGCTACTTCCCATCCTAAATTGTGCGATCAGTGGTTTTCCTTATTGGTTGTTTCAGTGGAAGTAACTGACTCGGCTGATTTTCAAAAGAGGGAAATGTTAGAGAACGTCCCGAACAGGGAAGCGGGTGTTTCTACACATGAGCATTGAAATATTTAAAGAAGTTATTATACTTTGTTTTTTGATGCAGAAGTTTGGTTACAGTTTTTATTTAAAAGCAAACTCCCAGATTGGTTAAAAATCCATTTGGGAGAACCGCATTTTGCAACATATTTTACATCATTTCCAGGTGCATCCTGAATCACAAAGAGCTCCTGCAAATGCACCCTAGATGGTGCATCCTCTGTACCATTTGTTCAGCTTTGGAGAACTAATCTGTTAGCTCATTGTTTGAATTTGATTATTTATAAAAACCACGCAGCTCAATCCGAAGATATAAATGTAAAACTGCACTGATTCCTAAGATTTTTATTTTAGTGAATCTGAAGGTTTCATGTTAAAGCTGCTTTCAGCCAGCTGCTGTGAGCTGAAGACAAAACAGCTGGCTGGCAGACCAAACAAATGATTGAATGCTGACATTTTTTGTAAAATCTGCACAGCTTGCTGTGCTGTGAGAAAATGTAAAGACATTATTCCCCAATTTCCATAATTTCCATATTAAACTCATCAGCAGCAGGGAAGCGAGTCTGCAGGATCTAGTATATCACATCTCGTATATGTCAGCATGTAACTGGATATTGTTTTCCCATCCTGCCAGCGTTGCTACACCAACCCTTCATACACCTTTTGGCGCTTTGATCTCACCCTTTATTATGATTGTACAATGTCACACTCCTTCACTTACACCCCTGCCTTTGTACTGCTCTCCACAGCCAAAAGCAAAGAACCAGAGAAAGTAACAGATGCTAAAGTCAATAAAGGTGAGTTAATCTTCGCCCCTGTGGGGTTCAAACTTTTTCATTTTGATGCTAAATCAAAAAGTGTTTTTCTAGAGCATTTTGATGCTTTTTGGGGGTTGGAGGCTTTCCAAATCGTGAATAAATAAATAAAAATCCTGCAAAAGTGTGAGAGGTAGTTTGATTTGAAACCTTCAGGACAGCTGCCAACCTTTCTAATAGCTCCTAATTCCAGCTGTAAGCACGGTGGTGGATGGCTGTTGATCTGGGTTCACTGACTCTATTGGGGATTCTTCTCTAGACAATAAAAACATTCTAGCATCAAACAGGAATACGAGCTGTTTTTTAAACATCCACAGATAAGATTCTAACCACTGCTGGCTTAACTGATTACATTGAATCCCTGCTGATTATAATGTCACAAGGACTAAAGAGTCGGTTCTCAGTGGAACACTGAGCATCTGTTTTCTCTTGCTGCCTCCCCAGCCCGAGGCCTCTGAACACTGAGCTCTCTGAACACTCACTAAAAAGAGCTTTTCATCCACATCACACTGAAATCTGACATCCAGGTCACTCAGATGATGTCAGTCTTTCTTCTCCTTTATGATTTTGTCCCTCCCTTCTTTTATCCACTCACAGCCCCAGCTGCAGTTAACTCTGTCTCTCCATCACTTGGACTTCGGAACAGCAATGCCATCCAGGAAGTCGCCGGGCCGAGCCATGTGGCCATTAATGCTATTTCTGCCAACATGGATTCGTTCGCCCGCGGCCGCACCGCCATCCTCAAGAAACAGCCGAGCCACATGGAGGCTGCGCACTTTGGAGACCTTGGTATGGAGACGTGTGTGTTTACGTTTGGTCTTAAATGATAACAACATTTAAGTATTGTTTACCCCAATGTTAATCACAATCTACACACTAATTTATTTTCTAATGAAAAACAATATTTCCTGCTGAGCCAACTGTGTTGCGCTTAGGCTTTGTTTGAGATCACCATGGTAACGGAGGTAGAAATGCTTCAGAGCAGGTGATGAGTTCAGTTTGGGTTTATTATCTGTAACAAACACAACATTCATGTTATCATAGTCATGCCATTCTGAAATCTATTACAGGATCTGACAAATTAACTCATCGCATGTGCTGTTATCACAAACATGAAAACCCTCAAAAACTGAATCCCTTCTGTAGGGTTGGGCATCGAGCATCGATTGGAACCGGGACCAACTGTTAGTTTTTCCCGGAATCGTTCAAAGTTTTTTATTTCGATTCCTAGAATGCCGACCAGAAGAGGAATCCGCGGCCGATCTCCGTGGAAAAATAAATGTGATCTGCAAATTGTGATCAACGCTTTTCAGAGCTGATCACACCAGCTGTCTGTGTGCAGCACGAGTCCCCCCTCCCCCAACCCGGCGCATAGCGGCCAAATATAAACAAACGCGTCCGCCAAACTTGTACTGCGTGATGTAAACTTTAACTCCTGCAGCGTAGAGGAAACGTGTTAAAATACATCAACACGGTGGATTTAATAGAAGCTTTAAAGAACAAACTCTGGACGGTGTGAGATGAGTTTGTCTCACTGCAGAAATAAAAACACACACGGAGCGTCAGCAGTCAGACGCAGCCGCTCACCAACACTCGTGTGTGTGTGTGTGTCTGTGTGTGTGTGTGTGTGTGTGTGTGCGTGCGTGCGTGCGTGCGTGCGCGCGTGAGCGTCAGAAGGCTGAACAAGGCCGAACAATGAATAATGTTTAAAATCTGTTAGATTGTTACTGACAACAGCTACATTTAAGTTTCACTTTCTGTTCTGACTGAATGCTGCCGCAGCATGGAGGTGTAGTTCTCAGTCATCCTGGACATGATCATCTTGAGAGTTTTAGCTGAAAACAGCTGGACGTTTCTAGATATGTTGGAGACATTCAGCCTCTCATCCCAGAGGCTTCTTCCAGACGTTGGTTGTGGTCAGAAACAAACACACTGGTTGTGCTGCAAGTCTTTTTTTTTTCTTCTCCAAAACATGTTTCTGTCTAAATGAAGGTGATGTAGTTGTTCATAGAATTAAAATTCATGTTGAAGATAAGATTATTTCATCAAGTAGGACCTGTGGTTAGCTGGCTCATTTAAAACAGGGAATGTCTTGAAAGAATCTGAATCGGGAATCGATAGGAACCGGAATCGAAACGAGGAATTGGAATCGGAATCTGAATCGTTCAAAATCAAACGATGCCCAGCCCTACCCTTCTGTCACCTTCAAGGTGCCACAGTAGGATCAGAGCAGGAAATGTAATAAATAGAAAAAAGCTTGTCTATTGTCCCTCATAATAAAATAAAACTTTACAAAATACTGATCATAGAATGAAATTAATGAGGATTTTATCCACATGTGCTGTTAATATTAGAACTTTTGTACACCAGAGAGAACCATAGAATAGACTTTATGGATCCCACAGTGGGGAAATTCACTTGTTACAGCAGCACCAACACTTAAGTGAATAATTTAAAGAAAAATAATATCAAAGGTACATGTGTGTGTGTGTGTGTGTATATATATATATATATATATATATATATATATATATATATATATGTATATATATATATATATATATATATATATGTATATATATATATATATATATATATATATATATATATATAAATGGTGGGTGGGTGGGCGGTGGTTGCACACATTCCGCTGCTGTTTCTCACCAGTATCAGCTGATGGAGGGCTCTAGTTTCATTGTGGCGGACATGGTAGGGTCGGGGAGGGGGGCGGGGCATGATGCTTAGCCTGGTAGGTGGCCAAGCAAAGCCTGGCGGGCCGCCAGGCTTATAAAGCGCTGGGGGAAACCCTGCTATGTAAATGTGGTATTGAATGAGTATTGAACACATAATGAATATTGCATTGGTGTTGTTGTGTAACAGGATAATGCCAGTACGGCTCAAACATGGGAGCTAAACAGTCTTACTGCAGAGGGGATGAAAGACCTGTGGTAGCATTCTGTTTTACATCTGGGATGTCTCAGTCTGCCTCTGAAGGAGCTGTCCATGGTCTCCATAGTGGAATGCAGTGGGTGGGAGGTATTTTTTAAGATGGTGGTCATCTTCCCCAGCATCCTCCTTTCACACACCTCAACTGTATCCAGTGGGCAGTGTGATTTCATGAGTGAAGGGTGAGCGATAAAGTCCCAAAGTAAGGTTTGTTTAAAGGGACTTTACGGAGTTTTGAATTTTTATGCTCGCGATTGCCCCCTCAGGCCAAAAGCGTAACGGCAGCTTCAATAGCAGGCTCATGCACGAGGCGCGCATGCTGTACGTGCACAATCCTTAACGAAAATAACAGCTGAGACAGTCCCGTGTGTTGCCCGGAGGACAGAGGGCAGGAGAATGCGCAGCTAATGAATTAAATAATTTGGTTCTGTACCTTTTTCTTCAGCACAGCTGACAAAGGTTTAAGACGGGTCAGTCTTCCTGCATGCTCAGATCATTCCCTTCCCTTGCTTGAAAAATTGTTCCAAAATGAAAGTTGAACCCACATCTTTTTTATCTGTGAATTCAACGCCGTTCGGCAAGTCTCAAATAAAATTTGGGCATCTTACTGTAAAAAAAAAAAAAACCATTAATGTAAAAAAGAAACTAAATGAACTATGTTCACATCAAGAATCAAACCTGGATCTTCTGCACGAGAGCCCGACGTTTAATTAGGTGAGCTAAAGCGCCAGTAATGTCTCTTGTATCTTTAACTTTTATATTCTAGATGACAGCTGAAACAACGTTCAAAGAACGGTTCGGAGTGAAAATGGCTATTTTGTTCCTAATTTGCAGGAAATATCTAGAAGAAAGTAGCTAAGGGTCCTCAGAAATGTAGCTAGGTTTGTCACTAGGCGTTAGGAACAGCGACAAAGTGGCATTGCCTCCCTCTCTGCTGCTAAATCTGCGGATAGCAAATGCTACGGGCTATGCCTGAGCGTGAACGCGCATGAAGCAGCCTGCTCGACCTGAGCAGCTCTCTTTTTCTGTGATTTTACAGAAAAACAGGCAATCACAGTAAAAATGCCAGGGCTCATTCTACAGGACAAGGGCATTGCAGGAGAATGTATGAAGAAGGAATTTATTATTTCTATACATGTTTTGGCTGTCAAACTTCCATAATGCCCCTTTAAAGCAGAAAAGCATTGAATGATGCATGAAACCAAAATATTTATAAATGTGAACACAAGTTCAGACTAGAGCTGAGCGCCTGAGTCGGTGAAGTAACATCTCAAACCCAGTTGTGTCTGTAATTATGGATGTGAATTTGTAAGAAAGTCCATTAACGTTTCCTTTTCTTGACACCCCTCACTTATCTTTCAACCTAGAATAGCGTTTTTGAGACTTAAATGGTCAATTTTTGGGTAAAAAAAATCTGCCATACAGAAGAATTTAGCATGTTATGATTGCAAAAACAACAGATTAAAGGTGCATTATGTAGAAATCAAGTCAAAGTGGCATCCTGTGGTAAAATTTGGTTACTGCAACCACTTTAAACAACTCTTGAGCTTTTTGTCGGCCTTCGTCAAATTACAGTTGTCGACGCTGCAGTATTAGTGGCAACCCCACACTCACTGATGGTAAACAGTAGTTTTGTCCCTCCCTCCTTTGGTTTTGAAAGGAGGAAAACTGATAATAACTGCAGCCTGCTGGATATGAAATATGTTTCAGTATAACCTTCCTTCCAAAATCACTGAAACATTAGACTCTTTTGGGGTTTTCTCACTGTAAAATTCTCACTATATTCTTACATAATGCACCTTTAAAGATAAAATCTAAAACCTTTGTGTTAAAATTGACACATAAAAGCAAACGTCTTAAGTAAGAAGCTTGGAGCTTAACCCACTGTGTGATGCTGTAGGGTGTAACTTTTACATCAACAAAGCCACAAACATCCCACAGTTTGGTGTAACTTCCCACATTCCTCTTTAATCCAACCGGCAGCAGGAACACGTCGGTGTTAAACTTAAACCTGATCACGTGGTGGCAGAATCTCTCCTCCGGGTTTTCTAGTCGGTTATGCTCTAATTATAGAGCATATCTGACTGGATGTCGTTGTCTGGGAACCATACAAGCTAGCTGTCCTGAGAATGATGAAAGTGGACAAACCTGCGCTGCAAGCCTGTCAACATCTGCTCACAGGGCTTCTCTTGTTTCCTAGTTGGTGTTTAATCAGAACAAGGAAGGAGTGGTGGATTGAATCATTGGACCACTTCAGGGCCTAATGTGAGCCAGATGCTGTATAAAGGGATACTTTTTTACTTTTTCATATTTTTTAAATCATTTTCTTGTACGCGTATGTGCTAAAATGACCCTTTACAGGGTTAATGAAATGTCACTCAGACCCCCACCACCCCCTGTGGCCAGAATACTGCACTTGCAACTTCAGAGTAGTGGGCTGGTTCCTGCTAGCTTCATTAAAGAGGAGCTGAGATGCCTGACATTGCAGTCTGCTTTCAGCATGTTTCCTGCATGTTTTAGATCATGAACATAGCTGATTTGTTTGATTTAGTGATGAATCACTCCTGTAGACGCTAATGAAGGCTGGGGAGACATTTCAGCTGTTAGATGAAGGTGTTAAAAAGACAAACACACAGCGAGGAGATAAGTTTCCCTTTCAGTTTTTTGACAATGAGTGTAATTGGACTCTAGGGGGTGCTCAAAGCAAGCCCACACTGCATAGTTTCCTTTTAAACGTGATGTGTAGGTGAGTGTTTTTGTCCGTTTCAGGTCATTCCAGTGTGAACTATCAGCCCCAGGAGACTCACTCTCGACTGTCCAAAACGGTGGACCAGGTTCTTCGAGACAACATGGCAATGCCCCACTACATGCATTTCATGGAGAACCAGGGCGCCGGTCACCTCGTCCGGTTCTGGCTCGAGGCGGAGAGCTTCCGCTCCACTAGCTGGTCACGCGTGCGAGCGCAGAGCCTGAACTCCGTCAAACACAGCTCGCTGGCTGAGCCAGTGGCAAGCTCTCCAGATGGCCCTGAGCTCACCCAAAACACGCCCAATAACCTCGCCCAGCACAACAGCACTGAAGGTTCGTCTTTGCTGTCAGATCGAGGGGGCTCATCCTGCTCAGAGGCGGAGCTGAGGCCCAACACCGCCCGAACACAGACGCCCATCAGGAAGGCGCCTTCCAGGACAGGGACGCCCTCCAAGGGCCAGCTGAACAGCTCTCTGAGAGACCTCTCTGATCAGCTCATGAAAAGTGAGGCTTGATTCTCGGGTGTCTCCATGTTTTCTAAGCTCAGAGGGATAACGTGAATCTGCCATTCGGTTGTATCCCACAGATATAGAAAAGGATGCTGTTACGATCTTCACCAGGTACATCTCTCCAGATGCTGTGAAGCCCATCCCCATCACCGAGCAGACCAGAAACGACATAATCGGTGAGACATGGAGGATGAGTTGCTTTAAGCTCTCATCTGGTTAAAGCTTTTAACACTGAGTCCTAAATCATCATCATCTCCGTTTAGCTAAGATATGCGGTGAAGACGGCATGGTGGACCCAAACTGTTTTGTCATCGCGCAGTCTGTTGCCTTCGCCATCCTGGATCAACAGTGAGTTTGTTTGTGTTGGTTTGTTCTGTGAGCTTCAGCCCTCCATCACTAACAGCTGCTCTCGTCTCCCATGCCCTCTGATTCTCAGGCACTTTAGTGAGTTCCTGCGGAGCCACCATTTCTGTAAATATCAGATTGAAGTGTTGACTAGTGGTTCTGTGTTCCTGGCTGACATCTTGTTCTGTGAGTCAGCGCTCTTCTACTTCTCAGAGGTGAGTTAGCTCGATTTGAGTGTTTCATCTGTTGACTCTTGTCCTCCAAAGAACTAAAAGCCCTTTCTCACACACAGAGCAAGCCATTTTTTTTAAATGCAAGCGACGTTGCTGTTTTCTTTTGTAGTACATGGAAAAGGAAGAAGCAATGAATGTCCTGCAGTTCTGGTTGGCAGCAGACAACTTTCAGAACCAGCTAGCAGCTAAAAAGGGCCAGTATGATGGCCAGGAGGCTCAGAACGATGCCATGATTCTCTACGACAAGTGAGTCCTTTATTTGCTGTTTGCAAACTTAATTGTGTAAAACATGCTTACGTTTGTTCTTGTATTAGCAGAGAATCGGGGTGGCTTCTCCCATGTTTCAGTTTCAGTTTGATTCTACTTTAACTGCATGTGGTTCACTCGTTAAATCTGCTGTCTCTAGTAGGAATGAATGTCTTGTAAGTCTTTCTGGGGGGGCTCAGTTGCACCTGTTCCAGGAATTAGAAGTCAGCTGGAAGAGAAATTAGCATCAGATGGCAGGATTTGGAGTCTTATTTCCTGATATTTGGACATCTCTCCTCTGATTGGCTAACAGCAATGCGACTCACTGACAAATTGCTCTGCAACGTTGATGTTTTATCTCCACAAATAACACAAGCCTGGAGGAGTTCTGCCGTGTGGTGGAGTTGCTAATGCTAATGGTTAGCTTCTGCTAGTCGAGATGTTCTCCTCTCTTTCCTGGACGCTAAAACAACAACAGCCTTCCCTGTCATGAGCCAAGATGGGTGAGTACTTGAATGTTCAGTGGCAGTGTGATGTAGATCTGTCAGGAATTTCAAATCCTAGAGTTTCACCATCTATTTTCTATTAGAAGCTAAAGCAGGAGATAGGTGTAGGAGACTATTTTCATGTTCAGCCTGCATAAAAAAAACTCAGACTGATTTTAGTCAGTTTGTTCACTAAATCACACCTTCAAACGGACAATAGATGGTTTTAGTTTGCTTTAAAACCCCCTAGTGTCCATTTTAAATTGCTATCATAACAACAAACCGACCCCCCCACCCTTTCACTGTACCCTATATTAACGTTACTCAAGGACAATAGAATATTTTTGAGATCTGCATCCAATTTGAATCCTTCATCAAAAGACACTTTCCTGATGCTGGTTTATGTTTGACCCCTCTTCCAGTCACATATACTGAGCCGAGATGGCGGAGTGAGTGAGTGGTTGACTGCTTTCAGCCTCTCCACTGTTAAACTTACGTAAACCTACAAAATTATTGGTTTTATGACCTAAATTTTCTTGAGCTTAATTTAAGTTCACTTGTTAAAACGGTTGAGCTCTAAGTTGCTTTATTGAGCTCAAATAATTCAGAATGTGCCTCCAAAAAGACTGCAAACAAAGGATCAACCGAAAGGCAGTGAGGAAGACACTGACACGTCAGCGAATGAACTGAGCATGGCGTCACTGGAGGCTACCCTTCAATAGTTACTTTCCGAAGCGGAAAATCGCACTAATGAGCGATTTGATCGTCTTGATTCGCAACTTGATTCTGTAAGATCTACAATTCATAAGCACACTAAAGAGCTGGAATCACAGAAGCAAGTCACATCTTCACTTCAAGCGCGGGTGAATCGTGTGGAGGATGCAACCTCAACTCATAATGCGGATTTATTGAAAATCCGAAGGAAGCTTTCTACCCTCGAGGAACATAGAAGAAACAACATCCGTATTATCAACTTAAAAGAAGGAATGGAGATTGATCACGTGAAGACCAATATTGTGGTGTGGTTTCCTGACCTTGCGGCATCCCCTCCTGATATAGTGCGAGCGCACCGAGTTGGTTCTTCTGGTCGGCTTGGCTTCTCCTCGAACCATGATGGCCTGCTTTCTTCATTCGGAGGACAGAGATCGGATCCTGAATCTGTCCAGAAAGTCTCAGGTGATGGGCTGGGATAACTGTTCGCTTCGCTGCAGACTATAGTGACTATAGTGATGACACTGCTTGCCGCTGATGCCGCTGCTTCCCGGTACTGAACCGCGCTCGCATCTTAGGGCTACAAGCCTTTTTACTTTATCCAGCTAACATTGAATGGATTAGCGGATCGGATCAGCGTGTGTTTGCAGACTCATGTGAGGCAGAAAGGTACCTGAATACCCTGTATTCTGTCACGTCTGGACCCACGGACTAGTATGGACTAGCTTTTTGGGATTTATCCATCATCTATGAACACCATCAACTAGCTCTAGGATCCAGTATGAAGTTACTAACCTGTTTTGCTTTTTCGCCTGTGGACTAACGTGAGACGGTCTCTTAACCTTTTATTCTATATTTTGTCTTTTTGATTAGATCCAGCCACCATGTTAAGTAATATTCTAAGTTGGATTATTGATTGTGGCTTCAAAATGAACAGGGTGTGGGTTGAGCACTTATACCTAAGACTTTGGTTACAAGGTACAATGACTACCTGTTATACAATTATTTTTCTTATTTTTTTCTGTTTGTTTAACTCTTTTTTTCCCTTTCTTTTTTGCATATGTGGTGTATATTTGCCTGCCATGGTGGTCACGTTGGTATACTTGGATGCTTACATTTCTTTACTCTTTTGGTATTTTATTATGGGTAAAGGTGTACATACTATTAATTTGAATATAAGAAGCTTATTACTTACTTTCAGAGACCTGGCTAAATGAAAATATTTCTGACAATGACATTTATGTTGATCATTTTGGTCTATATCGAGCGGACAGAGGGGCTAACTTACGTCTCCTCCTGTCTGGCATCTCAGATTATTGTTCCATCAGGTACTCCCTTGCACTTTGAAGCTATTTTCACAAAAATTTCTTTTAATGGACATAAACACCTTATTGTGGGTAACATTTATTGCCCTCCATCCTCTCCCAAAAATGAAGCAATAAAAAACTTAATAGAATTATTTCAGTCATTGTGGGACTCTAGTGAAATTATTTTACTAGGGGATTTCAATCTAAATTGGCTTGATAATTCTACTCTAGCCGAACGTAATCTACTAAATAGTTCGAATTTGTTGCATATATATATATATATATATATATATATATATATATATATATGTGTGTGTGTGTGTGTGCCCGGCTTACACCATGCAGGCTTTATTTATATATTTTTAATTTCACTATAATTTTTTTATTTTGTTTAATTTTATTTTGTTTATTTATGAAATTTGTGTTTGTTTTAACATTCTAGATTTGTTGTTTGTACATTGACTCTGTTATCTTTCTTTTTTATTGATTGTAAAGAAAGAGGATCCACTCGAAAACGTGATGGCTCATCTCAAGCGGTTTTCATCCTCATAAAATATCAGTCAAAATAAATAAATAAATAAATAAATGTTCTTTTTGTCTTTTCTGCTTCATCAGATGAAGGTTTCCTTTGTTTATTCTGAGTCTCCCCCGCAGTCAACACGATACAATAAACACCGACCACCTCTAGCTTGTCCGTCCAGAGGTGTAAATATGGATTACTATGAAGCGGTACTGCTTCTCATGACATAAGTGCCTTTGTGAGACTTCAGATCACCAGTCTTGGGAGGGTCTAGTTGCAAGTACAGTATTCAGCTCACAAGAAGCGGAGTGGGTAAAGAGACTATTCTTGATTAAAAAATATGACAAAGTAATTTATTGTGCCTTTAAATTTCTGCAACAATTAGATTTTTGGTGTTTGTTTTTGTTTTTATTCACTATGTGGTTTTGCATAAAACATCTGGGTGGGTTTTGGCTGTCTGGCTTCTCGGTGTACCTACATGTGTTTAAGTGGAAGTAAACAACTTAAACCTGTGATCGTGGCGTGATTTATTGCTCATTTAGTGAAGTTAAAATGCATTTCCTGCAGAATCAACGATCTATGTTGATCTATATCTGAGCTCGGTTGGTCATCCTTGCCGTTTGTTCGTAGGTATTTCTCACTCCAGGCCACGAACCCTCTGGGCTTTGGCGACTCTGTCCGGATGGAGATCGAGTCCAACATCTGCCGAGAGGGAGGGCCTCTCCCTGACTGTTTCACCACTCCGCTCAGACAGGCCTGGACCACCATGGAGAAGGTCAGATTCAGACATTTGTAAATGTGTTTGTGTGTAGAATTCATTAAAAACCACTATCTCTCCATTAAACCACGTTAATGTACTCCACGTGGATTCAGGAAGCAGATTTTAGGTTGTTTTCTACTTATTTATGTTTATTTAGCCTTTTCTGAAGTGATGATTCCTTTGGACAGTTGTGTCTCACTGACAAATCTCTCTTGTCCAGGTGTACTTGCCCGGCTTTCTGTCTAACAACCTTTATTACAAATACCTGAGTGACCTCATTAATTCAGTGCGGGCGGATGACTTTGTGAACATCAGTTCTCAAGGTCAAGGCGGGCCGGGGGAAAACGACCGCTCCAGTTCAAATGCCAGCGAGGCCTCTCAGACCCAGGTGAGCTCCTCCGTTGCCCGTGGGGATGTTCTCTGTCTGCTGACATTTAGACCCGTCCTGCTGACGTTCTGAGGTTGTGATCCCTCCTCTCGTTTAGCTGTATCCATTAGAAAGAAACTATGTTACCCAGAAGGCTGCTGAACATTTGGTTTGTTGTATCTTTGTTGCAGCAAGGTGCCAAAAAAGCTTTGATCAAGATTCTGAAAAACTTTGACGAGGCGATCACGGTGGACGTCGCCAGTTTAGACCCCGAGAATTTGTACCAACGGCCGTACGCCGGGTGAGTTTTAGTGTTTCTACTCTGCAGCCACAGAAAACGCTCGCTCCTTTGTTCTCTCTTCATCATTGTTCATTGCTCCGTTTTCACAGAAAGATGACTTTTGGGAAGGTGAATGAGTTGGGTCAGTTCATCAGGGAGGCCGAGCCAGAACCAGATGTGAAGAAATCCAAAGGTATACTCTTCTTTTTTTCTTCTTCTTCTTCTTTCTGCCGTCCTTATCTGTACAGTTTTGTCCTTGCAATGACAAGTCTGTCCTCTCTGCAGCAATGAATATAAACGTCATCTAGCAACTTCTGAAATATTTAAGAACTCTTCTTTTAAAAATTGCTGCTCCTAAATTCTGAGATCCTTCCCTGTTGGGGAAGCAAGCGTGTCGTTTAGTGATCGGATCACTCAGGATGCATGTTGGAGCAAGGGAGTGGGATCATAGTGACTAGGAGTGAAAAAGACCAAATTCTAAATATATTATGAAATATTTTCATTTTATCGATGCTTGATGTTTATGTTTTCTCCTGTTTAAGGTTCCATGTTTTCTCAAGCAATGAAGAAATGGGTCCAAGGCAACTCCGATGAGGTAATATTGAATGTTATTAATAAACTACGTAAATGACCATTGTGAGATGTATAATCTCACACTGTTTTGTGAAGATTGTGGTTATTAAAGAATTTAAATAGTGAAATCTCTGCTGTGGCTCTGATGATCAAGGCCCAGGAAGAGATGGCGTGGCAGATCGCCAAGATGATCGTCAACGATGTTGTCCACCAGTCAAACCACGACAGCCCCGGTAAATCCACCAAGGTGAAAAATCTCAGCAGTCTCGGCTGTGATGGGTGGGAATATGGCTGATCTTCTCCTGAGGGTTTTCTTTTTTTCTTTCTCGTAGTTATGACCCCTCCAAGGAACCAAAGGACAGGCGCTCCCTGCAGACACAGGCTTAGCGAGTGATGAACTGCGGAAAGACTTCACACTGCAATGAAATGCATTACTCTTAGACGGAACACATCGTTTTATCATCTCCCCATCATTGTGTGAGTGAGTGAGTGAGTGAGTGAGTGAGTGAGTGAGTGTGAGAGAATGTGTGCTTAGGTGAGTGATTGTTCACTCATGGACCAGTAGAAAACTTGAAGTACATCATTGTTCAATCTTCCAGCTCCGTAACACTGAAGATGTTTTCCACCACGAGTGAAGCAACGTCAATCAGGAAGGAAACGCTCATGTGGACGGAGTCAATCTGCGTGTTTCTGATTAACATCGACACACAGAAGTAGCAGCAGCGTGTCGGAACTATTACTGCTTTGTCTGTCGTACAGCAGACAGGTGGAGGATGTGACAAAAACTGAACTAAGCCCCCCTCCTTCATGGCACACGTCCTCACACCTTTTCTAGGCATTCCTTGTTTTTACATGGACCTCCATCGCGAGCGTCGGTCTCCAAGAGCGTATCAATTAAAAGCGTTGTACAGGTTTTGTGATCTTTTCACTCAGTTTAACGAGTGTAACGCTTCTGTCACCTCGTCTCTGTTAGTCGTCCTACATTGCCGTTATGTATTGTGGAACATTTTGGCAGTGAAATACCCATGCTCGGACTGGCTGACCCTCTTCATTAATATTAAGGCACCTTCAAAAGTACTCCCTATTGAACCTAAAGTGCTCTGGCGATGTCAGAAAAGCAAACTCCATGCCCTAAAGGTTCTATACATATATAAATATAAATGGATATTCTGGTTTAGCCCATATATTAATGTTTGTTTTTTTAATAGTGGTCTTAGTTTTTTAATTACATCACTGAAAACCTAGCTCAGTGAAGAATGGACTGCTGGAAAGAGTGCTCAGTTAATTTTACTTTTTTATTTCCTTTGAGCCTTACCTAAATGTGGAAAGGAACCAGAAAAAGTCTTGGTACCATGTACCTTTAATGTTTTCTGACATGTATGCGTACTTGGATCTATAATATATTTAAGATGTGTTTGATTTAAATACAAATATTACAAAGTGTATAGTCTCCCTTTTTGTACATCTATTAGAACAAATTGACATTCTTTCGGGACTATTACCACATCTCACCACGTGAGGGCAGTGTTGATTATTTGGCTTCTGGGGAAAGATACAAAGTTTGTTTTTCTGTCATAAATTGGCTTCTAATTATGCAGGTTCAGGGAAATCAGTCATTTATAATATTCAGTCTAAAGTAGAACTAAAAAGCACTTTTATCTTTCGTTTTCTTTTTTATTAAAATAACCCCGTAATTAGCATTTTGATATAATTATTGCGTCACGTGATGAAAGTAGTTGCTTTACGAAGCTCATTTTTACGTGATGCTCCTTAACGCACCATAGTGAAACTACCTTCATGTGCAGAGGAAAACTACAAATAAAGAAAACATCTGATTGGCGTTGAGGTTATTATAGCAACACGGTGCTGTCAAACATGATAACCTGTAGGGTTTTCATATATTTGACTAAAGTAACGTGGGATGCAAATTAGAAAAATGTGTTTATTGTTCTAATTTAATTCTTAAAACACAAGAAGGGGTATATTGGGATTTCTACACTCTACCTATTTCTTTAGTCTAGCAGGTACCGGGCACCTGCAGCTAGGTCAAGCTAAGCAGAGGATGTGCGAAAGGCGGACAGTTTGAAGATTTACCTTCAAAATCAACGCAAAAACAATCTTAGAAAAAGTAGCCAATTAAAAAACACTTATCAATATAAGCTATTCTTTTGGTTTATATATGGTGGTAAATTGAAATTGCACTCTTATTGGTTTAAGAAACAAAATAGCGTAGACTACTAAGGATTCAAAAGCAATAAAATCCACCTTTTAAATAATTAATTAATTAATCAATCAATTAATTATTTTGCATCTTGTTCTAAATGACTAGATACTGATTAACCTTTATATGACTCCTAAATATAGGCCTAATATTGTGATTTGCAATAATATCAAGATCTGGTGTAAATATATTTTCATATGTCCTTTTTCCACACATTTCTCATCTAGTTTGTATTACTCTATAGTCCAGTTGCTTTCATCTGAACCCTTTTGGATTATTACTTTATATAATTCACATTTCTTTTCCACAGTTTTTTTTCTTGCTGAGGCTAATTTTTCCTTTTCTGTCGATGCACCACTGCTGGAAAACGAATTTCCCAGAGGAACCTTCCCGATGGGTAAATCTGGGTGAAAAAAAACAACAAAACAAAACAAACAAAAAAACAGTACCCTTTTAATCCCTGTTTTATTTAGAAAATCCAAACCGGAAGCTCGTTTTCACTTGGGTACCTTGACAACCAGACCTCCACGGGAGAGGCGAGGCGTAGGGGAGGCAAAGTACGAGGGTGTCCGTGCTGAAGCGCAAGAAGCATCCCGGGGGGAACCAGGGAAAGTACCGGTTCCAGAACCGGTTTCAGCTCTGGGCTCTGCCTTCACCTGCTCCTTCACGCTCACTTCTGCTGTAATTATCTGGGTGTGACACATCTTGAGCCAGTCCGAGTGCCCTTTATAACATCTCCACCTTTTGCCAGATTTTTGTTTTAATATTCCCTCTGGACCAGATGTTCTGTGGACTCGGACTCAGATCTGTGCAGCAGCCCCTGCCTACTGCCCGTGTTTCTCCATCATCTCATGTAGAGCAGGGCAGCAGCAAGAGGCTGAAGTTGAAGTCTTGCTCCTGAAGGCGTGAGCTCCAAATGAATTCGCTCCTGGGCAGGGAAAAGAAAGAATTAGAAGCCGGGTTTGATCTTGGTGCGTCTCCGCCGGGCTTCCTGGCTCAAGCTGCCACCATGTTCAGCTGTGTGGGGTGCTTCTGGGTACTCCTGTCCTCCGCTCTGGTCGCCATCTGCAGCTTCAGCTTTATCTCTCCTGCCTGGATTGTGAAGGACCAGCTGAGGAGCAGCACGCAGCATCTCCACCACCACTCCAACAGCAAGGACTCCGTGAGCTTCGGTTTGCTGTGGCACTGCTCGGAGTCTCTGGACCACATGTACCGGTGCTACACTTTTGGTGGTCTGGGAAAATTCGCAGAGATCCCCTCCAGCTCCTGGCAGGTCGGTACACACACCCACACTTGGTCACATGTGGAAGGAGAGCATGCTGGATGCTTTATTTTTGCAGAAAATAGTCTAATCCAACTTAAGTCCAGTTACAAATTCCTAGTGACATTATTGCATGCATTTCAAGAAAGTGGTTCTTATTGGATAAAACATCAATAACCTCAGATTTCAACGACTGGGTTGCAGTGACCTCTGACAGCATCCACCACATGTGTCACAATGAATAAAAACATTTGTGATTGACGTCTATGAAGGTGCATCATGCAGCATCTGCAGCTCAGCATGCTAGACGCACACCAGAGCTGTGAAAGTGACACCAGGTTGGCAGAATCCTCTAAAATCCAGAATCCGGACTCCCCACCTGCAGGAATTTTTACTCTCCTTTGACGAGAGCCTGCCTAAACAGCAGACCACAGAGAGGATGTAAACAGCTGTGCAATTATACCCACCAGGCAGGTGTTTTTGCAGATGTGATGGCTGAGGGTCAACATCATTTTGTGAAACCTTTTTATTCACAACATTGACTTATTGCTTTCTGTGTGAAATACATTACTGGAGTGTGGAGGTGCTATGGGAAACTTCTGAGATTATACCTGCCCCCCAAAACCCCCAATAAAAATCAGCAGTGACACATACTCCTTTGGAGTTATGATTTATGCACGAAGGCAAATTGGTATTTGAAAGAGTGTTTCTAATACCTACGGTTTGTGCGATTGTAACAAAAACATCTGCAAACAAAGTTGGCAGACTGGGACTTTTGGCAGTTTTAAATTGTTTGGAAATAATGATAAAGCAGAACTTGAAGTTAAAGGGAGCCCAAACACCCCCTAGTGGCTGGTTGCAATACAGGTTCTAAGTCCCGCCCTCTACGTGTATGCGAATTAGACGTTGTCGGCTCAGATTGTAATTTTATAGGTGTTGACCCTTGCAGGTTCAGAAATTCATTCTTCTATCATGTTTCACAGTAATTGGCCATTTGATGCAGAAAAACAACCCAACTGTGTGAGCAGGAGAGTAGGAAGAGCTGACTCCATAAATACAACATGGCAGCCATCATAAATAGGATTTCCTGGCTTCATTTATAAAAAAACGGTGGGGGAATGTTGGTCCTCCCTTCTGTTCCAAGGATATTGATCTAGATGCCTCATGGTTTGTTCAAATCCAACAAACCTATCCAAATGAATGCCTGTAGATCCTGAGATGTAGATCTTCTTTTTTTGTTGTTGTAATTTCTTTGGTTTGACCTCAGGGTGAAATTGCTGAGACCTTCAATCCCTTGAAGCCTGGCAGCTGCCTTGAACGTTTTCTGTTTGGGAATTGAATTTCTTGTTGAATGATGAGCTCCAAATTGTTTGGAAACGTCGTTATAACCTTCCCAACTGGTGGGAAGCCACTATTTCCTCTCTGAGAACACACTAGAAGTGTGTTAATGTTGTTTCTAAAATGTTAAATTAATAATTTATATATAATTTGGACGAAGTGATGCTTTTATATTAACTGATAAAAGGACACATTATTTCCTACATCCTCCCAATATTTTTCCTGATCTGGGGTCTGATTTGGCCCCATTCCAACCTGACAGCCTAATCAATGTTGTTCTTCTCACCACTCAATGATTTTCATGTTTTGGCTGATTGGTGTTTATTAATGAAGCATTTTACGTCGTTTTGCTGAGGCTGGGCGTAATAAAGTGTTTAAGGCCCCGGTTGGCTAAAATCAGGGGTCAGTTAATCATTTAGCGACATGTCAGTTTGTTCATTAGCACCCTCCCTGTTATGAGCTTCTCGCCGAGTGTGTTGGTGAGAGTGAGGTTGATGGAGCAGCTCTTCTTCGCAGTGTGACTCGTGTTATTATGGCGGCGAACCCGGGCGCGCTATCCCGATCCCACAGCCATTAATAAAGGTGAAGGGGCCATTAAGTTTTCATCAGAGCCACTTTATTACTCCGCCACTCCTCACTGATGGTTCTGTTGATGCCTTTTCTGTGTCCGACTTGTCAACAAGCAGCGCAAGAACACCAGTCTGAACAGGTTGGTGCTTGGAGCAAAAACCATGCCTGGCTTCGCATGTGTACAGGTACTCCATTCTCCATCCCAGTTAAAGGCTGGAGTCTTGTGGAAGCAGCGTGAGTGAACTGAAGGGTGAGGACAGGTAGGGAGGTGAGGGAGGACGCAGGTGAGGCAGCCTGCTTGTGTTGTACTTGGTTGCTGTTGTCGCTCCATGTTGTCAAAAACATTCTGTAGAAGCTCCAGTGCTGCTGGAAACACAAGGCTGTGGGATGACTGGACTGCTGACTCTATTTACACTCGCACACACGCACACACACACGCACTCGCACACACACACACACGCACGCATGCACGCACAGACGGATCAAATTGTGTAGAATCTCACAACAAAACAGAACTCTTGTTAAATTTTCCTTTACACTAACAAATCACAGTCTTTCATGTTATGATACTGAATCAAATAGTGTAGCGATCTTTCATTGAGAATTTACTTGCAAACGTGTACTGGATTTGTTTTGTGAGGTACAATCCAAACTCCAACTGATAGGTGGAAGCAGTTTTACTGCCTTCTTTCTGACAGAACAGTGAGACCTTGCAATAACATTGGATGTGACTTGGATGCGTCTGATCTGAATTTTCCAGTTAATTTCAGTCTTAACAATTGCAAATATCCTCTGGCGAAGTAAATGTGTATATATATATATATGTGTGTGTGTGTGTGTGTATGTGTGTGTGTGTGTGTGTATAGCGAGGTGTTGGTGGGTGATATGACTGGCCTTTTATTTTAATTCAAGTATTTATTGTTAGACACCTTTTATTATTCTTTCCTTTGAGTGACACATTTTAACTGATTAATGCCACTCAAACATCAAACGTATTTAAAAAATAGGCCCCTCCCATTTCAATAGGGCTGTTTTTTACTTAAGTATGACCTC